TTATTCTACTTTGATTTGCCAAAAATACATTCTCATACACTCGGCAACAATTTTATTTGCATGTCACATAACAAAAAACTAAAGAAAGATAAATAGCAATACTGTATGAGATTGGGATTTCATATCAATTTATTTAATAAAATCATATCCATTATAAATACAAGTACATATCTGTCAAACGTCTACATGTATACACCTACAGTATGTCTGGTCAAATTTAATTCCTATTCAGCCACATGTGTCTTATCGTGATCTGCCCCGTCAACTTGATTTGTACCTGTAGGAAATTTTTTTTTTATCAATCTGCGTTTATTTATGATCAGTGAGAATACAGGTGTATATGCAACGTCGGAACAATAACAAATGAATGTGAATCCTGAAAATTATCAAATTATGATTTGGCGTGCGCTTATTTGTTCGAGAGCACACTAAATGTCTGAATAAAAATCAATGTACAAATTAAAAATACTGTGTTCGAAGATTATCAAAGTTTTAACCTTTAACGTACAATATGTAAAGATATATCCCTTACTAAAAAGTATTTGTCTCCATTGTAATTTGCCTGTGTCTGGAATAATTGATCCGTGCCGATCGATGCATCGAGTAGCCTCGGCACCAATCTAAATGTATATGTTTAATTATAATGTAAAACGCGTACACATCTATATATGTGTTGAAATATGTCCCACTTGTATAATAAATATATCTGTCCCAACCAATCGTGATTTGCCCCCGTTGTCAAAAATTATATTTTATAAAGATGTTATTTATTAATGATCAGTGAAAATATATGCCGATCGACGCAATGTCGGCTTATAACTGTAACAAACGAAAATTGTACGAATCGTGGAAACAGTAATGTATTTTGAGTTGGCTTATATTTGTTATAAATCAATGTCTGATTAAAAATACTGTGTTTGAAGAGTAGGATATAAAGTATTGTAACAGTTTGGCCTTTTTGTGGATATGTGGTAGTGTGGCTAATAAAAAGACCACTGTTTAGTAAACAGTGTTTACTTGTGGATTGCACGGCACACGTTAAATGTGCTTTGTCCCTAAAGAATTAAACAGAATATATAATTTTATATATATAATATATAAAACAATATATTGTGGCGTTTATAAGCCCAAATAAAAGTACATCAAATTTCAAATATGTAATGAAGTTATTTTGTTGATTCTATTCCAAAACTCCAGAGTCCATATAACGAAATAATTTATCACTGAATCACTAATGCTGTATATAATATCCAGAGTTCATATAATCAAAGAACAATTCTCTGCATTATCACTTGTCATCTTATATCTCAAAATATTCACACTATTGTTATCTGCCATATAAAATGTTCATATATGATTGTAAGTCTTGTACACCTTAAACTCAGCAACTGTCTTGGGTCTTGCTTGGGTCTGGCTCTCAAACACTGATGCCCTGGAGCGCTACACTGGTCTCCCTCTGAAGAATTCTTGATGCTGTACTTAGGCTTTATCAAAGATATTATTCTCAGACCGGATGTATGTTCTAGCTTTGTCGATGCAAAATCGCCTAAGTCAGTTGTATCCTCTACTCTGGTTCTCCAACTGGTTCACTAACTGGGTGTATGTTTAAACTTCAGTGATGTGAAATCACCAAAGTCAAAACAACAGGCTCTGTAAACTCCTAAGTCCCGTATCCTCTGCTCTGATTCTCCAACTGGGTGTATGTTTAAACTTCAGTGATATGAAATCACCAAAGTCAAAACAATGGGCTCTGTAAACTCCTAAGTCCTGTATCCTCTGCTCTGGTTCTCCAACTGGGTGTATGTTCTAACTTCAGTTTTGTGAAATCACCAAAGTCAAAACAACAGGCTCGGTAAACTCCTAAGTCCTGTATCCTCTGCTCTGGTTCTCCAACTGGGTGTATGTTTTAACTTCAGTGATGTGAAATCACCAAAGTCAAAACAACAGGCTCGGTAAACTCCTAAGTCCTGTATCCTCTGCTCTGGTTCTCCGACTGGGTGTATGTTCTAACTTCAGTGATGTGAAATCACGAAAGTCAAAACAACAGGCTCGGTAAACTCCTAAGTCCTGTATCCTCTGCTCTGGTACTCAAACTGGGTGTATGTTCTAACTTCAGTGATGTGAAATCACCAAAGTCAAAACAACACGCTTTGTAATCTGCTGATTTGTATCTTCTTCTCTGATAGCTGTCACTGTCAGCTCAAACTGCAAATCAGCCAAGTCCTCAACTTCAGATGTCTTCTTCAGATAAATGTTCTACAAAACTAACTCAAAACATTAAATGCAAGTGTGTAAGAATATTCTAAGTCAGTTATACTCCACAACAAAGTGTCAAAGTGACTACTGTAAGTCCTGCTATTCTCAATCTCGGATAAAAGTAAGAATATTCCAAGTCCCAGTTATCATTCACATCAAAATGACAAAGTAAACTTATTTCTTACTCAAAAATAACTGTCACCAATCCCCGTCATCAATCTTGAGCAGATGTATATTCAATCTTCAAGGATGCAAAATCTTCAGAGTGCAAATATTACGCTGTTATCTCCTGGACCTCTTCTTTGTGTTGTCTCCTGGATCTCTGTGTAGTTGAATATTCCAACCTTGATGATACGAAATCACCAAAGTCAAAGTAATTATGTCTACAATCTGCAATCTCCTGGATCGTCTTCTCTGGGTTGTGGTATATTCCAACTTCAATGATAAGTCACCAAAATCAGAATATCTCATTGAATAATCTGCTAAGTCCTGGAACGTCCTCTCTGTAGATGTATATTCCAACTTCAATGATGCGAAATCATCAAAGTCAAAATATCTCGCTGGATAATCTGGATAATGTCCTGGAATGTCCTCTCTGTAGATGTATATTCTAACTTCAATGACACAAACTCATCAAAGTCAAAATATCTCGCTGAATGAACTGCTAAGTCCTGGAACTTCCTCTCTGTAGATGTATATTCTAACTTCAATGACACAAAATCATCAGTCAGAATATCTCGCTGGATAAACTGCTAAGTCCTGGAACGTCTTCTTCTGTAGATGTATTTTCTAACTTTAATGATGCGAAATCATCAAAGTCAAAATATCTCGCTGAATAAACTGCTAAGTTCAAGAACTTCCTCTCTGTAGATGTATATTCTAACTTCAATGACGCGAAATCATCAAAGTCAAAATATATATTTCGCTGGATAATCTGCTAAGTCCTGGAACTTCTTCTCTGTAGATGTATATTCTAACTTCAGTTATGCGAAATCACCAAAGTCAAAATATCTCGCTGAATGAACTGCTAAGTCCTGGAACGTCCTCTTCTATAGAGCTCGCTGCTTATATAGTAGAGCAGCGGTGTGATGATGTCATCCAGTTGTAAATGAAAATTTATGTAAACCAACTTCATGTTACAATTCTAGGCCTACAAACGTCAGGATCACCCCAAAATGTAATTAAATAATGTGGGTTAATTACACAGATAATAAATATCACAATAAACTATCATAATACAGTGACATTAGATCGTTATAACAAGTTATTCTATCTAGAAGACTAACTAACCTGTATTTAATGGAAATTGTAGAACTTTCTTGAAACGGCCGCTCATAAAAATCGGATCGCAACTCTAAATGCCAAATTCCAAGATGTGAAACGAAATCACTAATTAAATAAGAACATCCAAAAATCACCGGAAGTGCCCAGTTTAACTCACTAATTAAATCACTTACACTATCTACGAACTAGGTAACAATGGAAATAATTGCCCAAATATGTGTAAAACTGGCTAGCTCAACCATAACTGGGGAGATTGCTGTTAAAGTGCTGAAAACCTCCAAATACTGGGACCATAAAATTTTTGAAAAAAAAAATTTGTTACAGTATTTATACGTTTGACCATGGGCTTTCAATTCTAGTTGAAAGCCCATGGTTTGACGTACAATTTAAATGTACAGATATCAAACTAAAAAATAATCTGTCCCCATTGTATTTTACCCATTGTCCCAAGTTACTGTGCCGATCGGCGCAACATTCGATGCACTGACAGAATTCCCTGTTGCAACGATCGGTGCATCGAACACGCCAATCGATGCACCGAACTGGGTGCACCGATGCACCGAACTGGGTGCATCGATGCACCGAACTGGGTGCATTGATGCACCGATAGATGCACCGAAGTTCTGCCCCGCGATGCATAATTATAAGATCTTCGGCAAGACCTGTACTGTACCTTTGTGCTGGACTTTGGAGTCTCTGAGTTCCATTTGGCTTTCTGGAGTGTCTCACAACTTTTTGTGTAGATTGATTTTATCACCTTTTCTACCTCTGCCTGTCTCTCTCGGTAACTGTGTCACATTTGCCTCATCAGATGATAATTATCATCAGTGGTCATGGTCAATCTCATGTAAGTTTCTAAAGCCCTCTTCCTGAGGTCCTCGTTACATACATCTTCTGCTTCTTTCTTTTCTGAAATATATGAAATGTCTAGTTAAATCTTGTTGATATACATGGGGCTTGTAATCATATTAAATGATGATGTATTCCACAAGGAGGATTAAAAGCCAGAGTTAAAATTTGATATTCTTTGATCTCCAAGTAATGCGATACTACCGATCATTCCTGTATATTTTTACGGCTGCGGGGAGGATGAATGATATTCTCCATCAAAGCTAGCGTTATTATTGTCTGATATTTACTTGGCTATAAATTCACAAACAGCATTCAAAATATTGAAACTGCCGTCATTAATAAAGCCACTAATCATCTTGATCATTCTTGTGTTTTTGAATTTTTTGTTTGGTAATAAAACAAAGTCATTTCATTAAGATAACATTAAGATAGCCAGAAAGTGATTGCGCTTATTTTTATAAGTCTATGGCTTGATAAAATTCAACATGCAGAATTACTCAAAAACTGCCAGGAGGTATAATAAGTTAAGAATGAAATAATGTGCCAAGGGTATTTGGCTCACAAATCATTTGCTTGAACATGTCGTAAATGTCCTTACTTAGCTGAAAGGGATTTTAAATGGAGTCATAACAGATTACCTTAACTATTGATAGTGACTAGATGAAATGACAATACAGTCCAGTATATTCATTAACTCTTTGTTGTCAGATAATAATGAGACCATGGAAAACACCGCTTGTGGTGATCAGTTTCTTCATCTACATCATTATCTCAAAGACATACCAAATGTATATTAAGCATGGGAAAATAGCAGATCGATTAAGTAAAAATGGCACATTGGAGAATATTTTATCAGACAAGAATCTTGACATTGGTAACCACACAGATAAACGCCAATTTAAACACTTCTTGATTTTATCAGAAGCAAGAAGTGGCTCCACGTATTTACAGGATTTAATTAACAAACATTCACATTTAACATCATACGATGAACTTCTATCTCAAGTCCAACTGAGTAAATTCCAGCTTGATGATATCAGGAATAAATCAGAGTACATTTTACGTTGTATTAAACCTGATGCTAATATCCCTGGCATTCTGACTGGATTTAAAGTATTCATAAGTCAGTTAAAGGCGAGTAAACTTGAATTGAAGAAATTGATGACCTTACTTGAAAATCCTGCTGTTATTGTGCTCCAGAGATGTAATCTTTTGGATCAATACATCAGCCTAGTAAAGGCCACCAGAACACAACAATGGACTTCTCAAATGAAAGGAAAAACTGAAAGATCTCCATTTAATTTAGATATTGAAAACTTTGAAAATTATGCAACGTCCCAAAATGAACACTGGAAGATAATATTGAATGAGTTAAAATCATATCCCTATGTAATGTATGTCACATATGATGATATCCTTCAAAAGACAACTGAACTTCCGAATGCAATATTTACATTTTTAGGATATCCATCATCTGATAAACCATTTTTAAACTTGACTTCTTTCAAAAGACAAAGGAAAGCAGCTTTGGAAGACACTCTTGATAATTATGAGGATGTGAAGGATCAAATCGTCAAATGGGAAGAATCTCAATTTAATAGGTTATCTAATTGTTAAATGTGATATTGAATTTCATTTTGGACATTTCACTAGTTATAAGTTGTAACATGATTACATGAGTAATTGATTAGTACCTTTGATTAATAGACTTGATCTATGTTCCTATTCTCCAATAACATAAAAAATAGGAAATATCCATTGTTAAACAACAATGGCTTATTTTTCTGCTAGAATATATAAACACGACTTGTTTTATTTCATTGGCTCTGTTGTAAAACACCTCTTGAACAAGCATAATGCAGAATATTTCATTTTAAAGTTTTAAATATGAAATATTTAGACCCTCACCTAAGGACTATTTTATAACAATCACAAGAATCAAAAGATATTGTGCATTATACACGCCTAACCATTGTGTCAACATACAGCATCAACAATATGGAAGATCATCTAAAGTAGATAAAATTGGTGACTCCTCAACAGAAAGTGAATCACTTGAGGTGAACTGACTCAGTGTTGATAAAATCAATGATGTTTATACACTGTATGCCGTGTAATTGAACTCAAGTGCATGTTTAAAAAGTTAACAAATGCCTAAAATACCTTACACATGTCTGGTTACATCAATTTCAAAACTACTCTAAATACCAGAATACTAGGCTATGCTAAATGTAAAATAACATGAAAGACAAGTTCCAGCTGACAAATTAAAATGCCAAAATTGAGGGGGCAGTATTCATACCTGCCAACCTAAGACCAAAATTTTGCGGTAGATTTTTTTAAAATTGCTGTATTTTTGCGGTAGATTTTTTCAAAATACGGCAGTTTTTACGGTATTTTTCAACAAAATTGCGGTAGTTTTTGCGGTAGAATTCAGAAAAAACTGTCGTTTTTGCGGTAGATTTTTTAAAAAACGGTAGTTTTTGCGGTAAATTTAAAAAATACGGTAGTTTTTGCGGTAGATTTTAAAAAATACTGTAGTTTCAGAGGTTTGGGGTAAATTTTTGAAAAAAGTGTAATTTTGCGGTAGAAATTTGAAAAAAGCGGTAGTTTTGCGGAAAATTTTGAAAAAATGCGGTAGTTTTACGGTAGATTTTGAAAATTGCGTTAGTTAAACCTTTATACAATGCGGTTTTCTATATTAATACAATGTTTACGTGGTCATATTGTTGTTGTTATTGTGAATACATATTTTACTGCAAGAGTGCTTTTGATAATTACAGTTTGTAAAGCAGAACTACATGTTCCACCTGAGAATTATACGAAACTATTATTTTCAATAAAAAATAGATATACTATTTTCAAGAATAAATAGAGACTATACACTTTTTATTCTTCATTTACCATGCCTACAATGGACTAACAGCAACTTTGGATTTTAATGTTTCAGCAAAATGTACATGTATATGAATACAACTCTTTTACAACTCTTTTACAATAAATCTAGATTGATTCAAAATACGAACAAAATATCTCCACTTTTATTCACCTTCTCACCAGTTTTTTTAGATATCAGGATGTTTGGAAATACCATGAATGAAACATTTACTGAAATACAAAATATGGATTTTACACGTTTTTACTCACCATCTTAGATGACTTTATAACTTTAACGAATTGAAATGACAGACATAATGTTCATATAACATTGGAATCCTATGGTATTAAATATTGATTTGTTCACTCGCAAGTCTCTAATGATATCAATGTGTTTGTTTGCGGGGCGTATCGAAACCAAAACGCCCCGCAAAACCGTTAATTTGAATTTCAAATCGACCCTGTCTTTGGAAAATCAATGATTGTGAGTCTCACACAACACCGTTTTTCTTCAAACTTGTTCCATTAAAACTTTCACAGAAATACCTTTCAGTCGAGACATTGCTTTTGTTTACAAAGTCCCTCGTTTTAATAGCGGGGTTTTGGTCCCAAGATGTGAGAAGTTGCAAATCCTCAGAGATTTCAACCACAATCCTTGATATCTCGCCAGTTCTTCTATCACTCTCCCCCATATTCTGCGCAAGGAACTCCCATTACAAGCCTCCATCGCTGCATCAACATGTTTATTACATGAAACGCAGCAATTCTGAAAAGTCCTACGCAACTGTTCGAAATTGACCAAAACGCCCCGTTGTCTTCCAAAACGCCCAGCAGAGTCTATGACTACAAACGTGTAGTTTCAAGGTGTATAGATCCAACGGGGCGTTTTGGAAGAGAACGGGGCGTTTTGATCAATTTCGAACAGATGCGTAGGACTTTTGGAAATTGCTGCGTTTAATGTAAAAAGTATGTTGCATTCGGAATAAAGATCTGTGTACAAAAGGGTTTGGTTAACTACAAAAATCATGGCAGAAAGAATTCTTTCTAACTAGTGGTAGTTGGTGTTTGGACTGATTAAACGCAAACTTACTTAGATAAATGCGCAATAACCTGATAACCACAGACCTGCCGATACCTATTTATATTCGGGTTGGTGAAGGAATATTACAGGGACAGTACAGGAAGACTTCAATTTTTCAGCATTTCCCAACAATTACGGGAAATTGTACGGTAGTTTGAACAAAAATACTGTTGATTTTAGCAGAAATACGGTAGATTTTCGATAATTTACGTTAGATTTTCAAAAATTTACGGTAGATTTTACGGCCGTTCTCATGGAATAAACGAGTTTTTTAAATATAAAATTTACGGAAGATTACGAAAAAAATACGGTAGGCCTAGATTTTTTATGGGCGTTTTTACGGGAAAAAATGGTATTTTTTACGGTAGTTTGTCATTTTTTTACGGAAAAACGAAAAATTTACGGTAGATTCCCGTAAAAATACGGTAGGTTGGCAGGTATGAGTATACAAATTCTTAACTCATAGGGTGTACAGTATTTACTCGATTCTCTAGCCAATTCTTGGCTAGAAGTGATTTCATCTGGAACACTGTGAACTATTGTAAAATCTTAAGCCGTCGTTCAATAAATTTATGTAATATTTTAAAAATCGTTCTGTTAATATTTCATGAATTGAAATGGTAACGGCTTGTCTTGTTGATGAGATATTGAACGTTTTCATTTAAAATAGACGTCGTCTCGTTCTCCATTTTGAAAGCATGCCTTTTTTCTGCTATAGCGATTTAGTCAAGATGGCCGCTTGTTGTAAACATTTCCTTCAGTTCTGTTTTAATTCTTTTGTGAATACATATCCTGCGAAGTAGACCATTTTATGAAATAGGACTGCGTGTAAAGATCAATGAAGGTGAGTTTATTATGTTTACATCAATAAAAAACAAGACGGCTCGGCAATTTAAAGGCAAATTCAAAACAACAAACAGTGTCTTATTTATATTGTATGGCCACACTCAGTGGCCATAGAATATGGTAATACAGTATAATATAGATATATTTGAATTTATGTATACACAAGTAAATATATCTTAATATGTAATAAATTCATAACTGCTACAGTGAAATAAAAACTTTTTTTGACTGATTACCAACAATATTGAAAATAGTTCCATACAAAATGTTGAATTAACAGTCCGATGGCTTGAATGGAGTTATAAAAAGGATGAAAATACACAAAGTGTAACAGTTATGAATAATGAGTTAAAACACGGTTGAATCAAAGAGTTGAACCAACTTCTAAGACTCCTACAAAAAGGGTAAACCAAAATGGCAACAATTAAAAAAAATATTTGAAAATTAAAATTGGCAACAATTTGCCTCAAACCTAGCTATACAAGGCTAATGCCTAGGTCACACAGGCGCCGGCCAATGAGTAGTCATCGTCCGATTTCTAAATCGACCGGGCGCCGATGACTTCACTGATGGCTTGATCTAATCGTGAGTATGGTCACATTAGTCAAGCATCGTACAGCGCCCGCAATCAATTGAATCTGAAAGACATCGCACGGCGATCTGCAGGCCTCTAGATTTATACTAAATTCCTGTATGACCCAGTATGACTGTTCCACATGGCGTGAATGCAACATTTGAAACAGAAATACTTTGATAGACAGGACTTCCAGGATGATAATGTTTTCATGCAATAAAAATCAGAAAAAGAAGATCCTCTTTTGAGTAAATAGGTTCAATATTTTCTGAATTGTTTAAATGATATTTTGTCACAGTGGACAAATTTTTCGATACCAGCCTGTGATACTATCCTGGTTTTTCCAAAAATAAAAGTTGATGATGACGTAGATCATCAACTTCAGTTAGAGTCATTCCAAGTGAATCTGTTTTCTTTAAAATTCTCTAATATTGAAGGTGTTACAGTAGGGCATTCATTTGTGGTTGAATACAACCGTAGTTTTATTAATTTGCATGGCGAAATCTTTGGAATCAAGATTCAGCTTAGTTTAGCTGAAATCAGGGGTTTATCGAAAACAAAATAATTTCTGCAACCATCTTGAATGAAGCTAACTGCAGTTGGAGTCATCCAGCTGTGGAACAGTGACTATGGGCCAGCAGATTTCATTTGGAAGCTGCTGGCACTTTTTAATTAATCTAATACTTCTAACACTCACATATACCGACACACCTTTTGTTTATTATTTTCTATAGACTCCACTACTAATAAGTAGAATACAAAAACATCAATATTAATTCATATTTTCTTTATTTTTCAGGAAGTTTCCAAATTGGGGACAAATGATCTCTTCTATCAAATTGGTCTGAATGTTAACAGCCATTTGTTAGCTTTGATTTTTTGTTAGCCTAATTTCATCTTGACTACAGTGCACCCCAAAAAACGCAACAAGCAAAAACATTGTAAAACCACAAAACCAGTGATGGTAACATTAATTTCATTTAGCTTACCATGAAGCCATGTGTCTCCTCTTTCCAATGGTATGTCATTTATTCATATATGACCACATACCACTGAATAATCATTGATTTTGCACAATCTGCTATGGACCAAGTTTTAGACATTGCAACAGTTGACAGAGAACCTATGAGGTTACTGCTCTCTGCTAGAACCCATAGATGGTTCAAAGATATGTTTGCGACATGGAGAGGGGACCAATCTCTGTATGTAGAGAAATGGTGGCCATGTGAAGGGGCGTTCAATTGTTATCTTTCATGAGAAATCTTCATTACATATCATTACAACTTAGAAATCAAGCCAGCCATTGTTAAGATATTTACAAATCAATTCTCTCACTTAGGAAACGAGGCACCTTTTCAATGATAAGAGGAAATGTTTAACTTGCTAAAAGCTTTCTGATTTTTGTTTTTCTTGACTGGTATGCACTTAGAGTTTGCTTTTTCTTACTAAGTTCCATTACAACTTTTGGTTCTTTCCCTTTGGTTCTTTCCCTTTGGCACTAGTGCTTATATATATATTCCTCGTTTCCTAAGTTGATTCGCAAATATCAAAGCAATGACTGCATTAATTTCTAAGGTGTATTTATATTCTGAAGTCGTAATTCACAAAGCACTTGCCAAAATATTAACTGTAAATTGAAAGACAAAAGCTAAAGAATTGTGACAAGAAAATGCTCCTTCTCATTGCGGCCATATTGATACAAGGCAAAACCTCCCTCCAGTTCATCCCCAGTGTCTCTGTTCCAATTTCAAAGTGGGGATAAAATGATAAATGATCTCACTGTTTGTATAATAGAATCGAATTGTTACATTATTTTACAAAATTAACATTCAAATCACATTTTGTTCAAAAATAATGTTTCCAGATATGTACACACCAGTGCCAAAGGGAAATAACCAAGAATTGTTACAAAACCCTGCAAAGAAAAGGAAATACCCGAGTGTACTCCAATCATAAGGAAAAAAGCCAGAACTTTTGCTATGTGGAAAATGGTGCAAACTTAAAGACATGTTCAGCAAAATGAAAGTCAGTATTACCACCCTATGCAGACAGAGCCCGCGGAGCTAACGGTCATTTTTGAATTTAAAATTGGGATATTTCTGAAACTAAGCCGTTTTGGGACTTCAAATATACCAAGATATGTGTATTTGACACCAAATATCAATAAAATTGTGAAAATAGTAGTGCAATTCATTTAATAGCGACGCAGTATGCCTTAAACATTTCCCAGACCTTTATATTTTGAGACTATCCTTTTAATACTGCGTCCCCAGCATTCATAAAAAATGCTGTTCAAGATACACTACCCATGCAAATTATTTTTGCATCTTGGAAGCCAGACAGTATCTGTGTGATTTTATAAAAATTCGGAATGTTTTTCAGATATGAGCCCCCTCTAAATATTGGGTGCAGAGAAGCTCCATAAACGTACCTCCGCACCCAATATTTAGAGGCTTCCAAGATGCAAAAATAATTTGTATAGATAGTGTACCTTGAACACAATTTTTTATGAATGCTGGGGACTCAGTATTAAAAGGATATTTTCAAAATATATAGGTCTGGGAAAGGTTTAATGCACACTGCGTCGCTATAGAATGAATTGCGCTACTATTTTCACAATTGTATTGATATTTGGTGTCAAATACACATATCTTGGTATATTTGAAGTCCCAAAACGGCTTAGTTTCAGAAATATCCCAAATTTAAATTCAAAAATGACCGTTAGCTCCGCACCCTCCGCTCATTTGCTCCGCATCCAATATTTCCCACAGGCTCTGCTGCATATGGTGATAACACAATGAAATGAATAATGCTGAAGATAGAATTGGTCAGAATGTATGTATCTATCTCAGTGTAAGTATACAGTTATATACATCATTATTTACCAATAATTTGATCATCCTGTATCATTCTTTATTTGAATATAACTTATTACACATAATGTACAAAGGTGAAGCGTGAGTGCATTATCAAAATGGGTAAGTACGTATACATGCATGAAATATGTGTGCTAGTGTCAGAATTCCTTTAGGTACTGATAAATGTCCAGTGGTTTTAAGATAGTACCCAGGGTCACTGCCGGAGTCATATTTGTCTTCAACTTTTCCACTCTCTAAGGTGCCATCCTACAAAAGAATCAATGTTGCAGTCAAATCTTACAACTGACATTTTTACCAAACTACTAAAATTTAAATACGAAGGTTTTTTATATGGGTTTTCTTCAATTAGAAGCAAATTGAAAGTTACCTCTGCAATTTCATTCTAGGAACTGCTTGGAGTATTATTCTGAGAGCAGGCATATTAAGCTTATTTAGGTTCCGACCTTGAACTATATCAACTGGCCAATTCAAAACTTTAAACGATCCCTTCCTGACAGCTTTAAATGGAAATTTGCCTGCAAAAAAAATGAGAGTTTATCATATTTTCTAATTATCATGGAGTGTCATCAAAATATTTGTCCAGCTTGGGGGAGAATGCTGTTTTTCTTAAAACTACAAGAAAACTTCACAAATTATTCTATGTTTCGCTACACCAAAGAAAATAAATTACTATTATTATCATGCAATGAGTATATTTTTTGCGGATAACCTTCACTTCTCTAAAGTCCAATAACGCTAGGTGTAAAAGCTAGGCCCTATTGGAAATGGCACGATAAATTGACATGATAATATTAACACATGTTTTCACCATAACTCTGAAGGTATTAATAAGATCTAGATGTATTTGGTCTTTTTAATGTTTTCTATGAAAAATAATGTTTAAGTTCTTTGTCAGCTTGGGGAGCAGTTTTGTATTTCATGTTTTCTTAGCGTTATTGGACTTTCATGAAAAATAGCATGCTGGACAAATCTTTCGATGACCACCCCTGATTATAAAGCAAATACAGGTATGTGCACTTTTTCGACATTTCTAAAGTATGAATCTGAAGTTTATATTCAGACACTGAACGTACCTCCTTTTACAATGCTATTTAAGGCCTTTCGAACTTTGCGAACAAGTTTTTTTCTGTCACTCTCTGAGTTCCGTTTGATTTTGGATGCTGTTGAATCACTTAGTGTGGCTGAAAAAACAACAGTAAATGTTAGAAACTGGAATTATTTTTTTCAGCTTTTAAAACAGTGCTTTTAAAACAGTTTTGAAAATGATATTTAGAAACCCACTCGGAGTCGTCTTGAATTGGTCATTTCAAAATGGCCGTAGCAGAATCCCTATTCACACTGGCAGCAAAGGAGGAGAGAGTAAATCTCAAATTATTTCTTTTTAATTCTTTCAGTCCTACTGTAACATGTTGACAAACTCGAAGTATAAGATAATCTCCCCCCCCCCAAATATGACAGCTGACCTTTTCTCTTATCAGATGTAAAGCTTAAATTTTCCGAATTGAAATATAATGTAGGTCAATGTGACATTTGTCATTATAAGTAGCAATGGAGTCTTGAGCAACATTAAAACATACATGTAGTTTGTACATCGGCATTAAAATATAAAAGCATATAGTTCCTTTAATGCGTATTATTGTGTTCATTTCTAGTAAGATTTCATCATTTATTGAAAAATGATATTAAGCTGGTTTTGTGTGTTCTTAATACCTTCTTCTTTTACTAAATCTATGTATTGCAAACTGAAGAGTTTTGGACATCAGTTCCTGGGTGAAATCTTAAAAAGTAAAAACTTCCATATCAAGTAAGACATGAGCTGGTGAGGAATATCCCTTTAAATACATACCTAAATTAAGTGTAAATGCATCTTTTAGGGGTTTAATACTTATATCCCCATTGTTCGTGCCAAATGATACAAATTTGGACCCCAAAACTGCCATTCCTCCTACCTCCCCACCGATGCTCTGAATGAGGCGACACTGAAATGAATAGGAAGTAAAATGACTGCCTACCAATAATACATGGTTAACAGAACACTGTGAGCAATGATATCAAGATTTATCATTGAACCAACTGTACTACAAGATGGCACAAAAAGGCAACTTTTCTATTTTTGAATAACATGATTTAATATTCATACAGGGTGTATAAACGCAAGAAATAAATAAAAAATAGCAATGACTGCTTTGATTTTATTGAATAAATCATGAAGCCATATTTCACCTCTTAAATATGTCATTTATTTACACGGTCTCTTGGTTGGCTGATCATTCCTCTTGCGCAATGGGCAAAATTGGCGAGGAGCCAAGTTTTAGACACTGCAAAAAAACAATACACATGCCCAAGTCCAATTTGAAGAAGGTGTGGCAGGTATGACAGAACAGTAGTGTCCATACTCATAATCATGCAAGATTACATCGCGTACCCCTTCCCTTCTGCAATGTCTTAATCAAACTTAAAACTGATTTTGACTCGCTGAGCAAAAGGAATTATTTTTCAGCCAACCACGACCCCATATAAATAATAAATAAATGAGAAATTAAAAGAGGAGAAACATATCGCACCATAAGTATAATAAGGTTCTAAGTGACATTTTGAGAAAAATGCTGTAACTTTGCATATTGACTAATTTGGGCATGTTCTTTCCAATGAAATCAATGACAAACTTCCATCTTTGCTCTAAATATGCTTTTCTCAATATCAAAAGGGTGTAAGTCAATTTAATTTGCAATAACCTATGTATAAGAAGGTTCTAACTCTTATCCAATCAAATTTAAATGAAAAAATTCTATAGACAATGACAGTTATAGCTGGTATTATAAGGTTCTAATTAACTTCAGGTCTTGACCAATCAGAACTTAACATTTGGTCATGTGACAGGAAACCAATAATAATTAACACGTGGACAAGCATTGAGTTTTTTAAAATGTTGAAATTGTTTATTTGGAGATATTACAGCGATATTACGAACCAAATTGACATGTTCGGTAAAGACTAAAGTATATGTCGCTGGCAAGTGAAATCGTTTTCACGAGTTTTAAATTAAAAAAATTTAGAACAACTTTTACTTATGTCATTTTTCACGTTTTTGTAAGTGTAAACAAAGGAGGTTGGGACCCTAAGGCTTTTTCTTTATTATATCGACAAAGATCTGTTTGGTGTCTATGGAAAGTAGAATCAATTTCATAGAGCATGTGCTATACAGTATTGCTGTGCAAACTTGCTGTGAAATATAATCTCAATTTCCGTAGGACAAGGTCACCGTTTTTCATGAAATGATATGATTTATTCCCTATGAATGTTAACAAAAAAACTAGAATTAAAACTAGAAAGTAAGAGGAAACAGCATAAGAAACATTAGAAAGTAAAATTCATGGACAAGCAAACATAAGCGACAGTGTGATAGTGAAGATAATGTCCATAAGAGTATTTTTATAGTAAATATACAGTAAAAAACAATTCAGAAAGCAAAAGAAACAGCATATGAAACATAAGGAAAATTAAGTAAAACATTAATGTTAACCATGAAGTGGTAGTGAAGATAATGCCCATAATAGTATATTATATACATGGAAAGTGTGTGTCAAAGTTATGAACCACATAGTGTATGAAATCAAAATGTGAACGTTAAAAGAAACACCATAAGGAACACAAGGAAGTAAAAGCATGGACAAGCAAACGTTATATATATGGTGATAAAGATAATATCCATGCTCTTTGTTTTTTTTACAAGGGTATTTTACAAGGGTATTTTATTACACTACCTTATAAGTGTTTCATGAGACATTACTGCTGATCTATTGGTTAAGGCCATAAAGTTAATTGGTGTATGGAGGATATCCTTGTATACGATAAGGATAATTTCATTTTAAAGTATATTTTTATATTTGTCAGCAGTTTAGGATTTATAAATACAGGGTGGTCAAAAACCGGACCAAAGAAGAGTTGAATTACTTTGTCAATTTCGTATATTTTCCTTGACATTTCAGAATCATGTAGTTCATTTATTTGGTTTTCAACTTCAAGACAAAATATGCAGGCTTGACCTAGTTATTAAACTTTTCTCCGGTCCTGTTTTGACCACCCTGTACATTAAACCTGAACGTGATATGTATTAAGATAGTGCTATTTTTCTGATGGCAGTGAAATATATTAATTTGCATATATATGCATGGTAAGTTTCAATACTGCAATTGCAGAGTTTTGTTTGATGATACAGTGTAATTGTGCAATATTTTGATATTGATGCTTATTTTATGATGACATGTCTGGATTTACTAGTTCTTTTTATATTTTTTAGAAATATATATTTTTCTTTTTTTATAATTTTTGTTATGAATTAGACAACATGAAATCAAAATGACATCAAAATACTTTTCCCTCAATGGAATGAATGGCAAAATAAGTTCTATATGCAACCAATTAAGAACTTGATTAGCTTTTGTCAGTAAAAGGTTCTATTTGCATTTTGATTTTTGCTGAAAAAACAGATGTACAGTGTCAATTCTAACAAAAAAATCACCAAAAGACAGGATTTTATGTCATTAACCAATTCCTAAAATCTTGACCTACAATAAATAGAAAAATGTTATCAAAGTCCCAAACTTCAATCCTGTTTTTCTCAAAACATGGTTTGAGCCACTGAGAACCTTATTATACTAATGGTGCGATATGACTCTTGATTCAACAGCTTGCCTACTTTCAAAATGGCCGCCATTTTTGTCTCGCAAAATTCACTGTTTGATCATTTAGTAGCTATATAGTTTTAAAACCTGTCAATAGGATATTTGTGTTCAACATCAATACAGACCTTCATCTAATATGAATCTTGATTCAAAATGGCCACCTTTTTTGTCTCGCAAAATTCACTTTTTGAACATTTAGTAACTTTGTAGTTTTAAAACCTCTCGATAGGTTTCCCTGGTTTAAATTATTTTTGTTCAACATGAATACAGAAAATCCTCCAAATGGCTCCTGATTCAGAAATTAGCCAACTTTCAAAATGGCAACCATTTTTGTCGCAAAAAACTTCACTTTTTGCCCAACACCATGCAAGCCTAGTAGCCATGGTACTCGTGTGTTCAGATTCACAGTTTACATTTAAGCCTGTAACTAAACCTCTCTTCTATGATTAACAATCGTGCTAAACAAATGTTCACAACCAATGAATACTCACTTGTTCAGATATAGCCTGAATAGCTGAATTGAATGCTTGCAACTTCTTCAATTCATTGTTTTTCCTACAATCGTTTGAACCAGTTCCTTCAAAAGAAATGCAAATACATAGGTTCAAAATAAATGAAACTGAACAAAAAAATCAAAACGATGTTATCACAAAACAATAAGGAAATGCTACCCTTTCTAAACCATTGCAACATTTGTCTCACTGGTTCTGATCGATGTTTGGTAATGGTATGTATATAATGGAGTTAGTAAATGCTTTCTTCGTAAAACACCATCTAAATCTTACATGCCTTCAACAACTGCACCAAAACGCTATTAAAACCCTCAGCTGGCACATTTGTTCATTGATGACATGTTGATTGTATTCCTACTTCCATAACGAAAAGAAGGAAACTTTAATATGTATGATAGGTATCATATTAGTGTAGGGCTCTTTTGATGATGAATATCTTAGCACAAGTGCCAAAGGGAGGGGACCAAAAACTGTAAAGAAAAGTACCAATGCTAAAAGTCCATAGGCAATTCAAAGGGTCAACGTTCATTTGCAACCAAATTCGTAACCATAATCCATAACATATCGCACGTAACTTGTGAAAAAGAGAGAAGTAGAGTTGACAGTTTTTGTACAACAAAAACACCCAATGCAGAATGTGCTATACGAAGAACAATCTCATGTGCGTTTTTAAAATTGCCACTTTCAAACACCATTTACAGCCTTCATTCAGGATTGGTGACCAAGATGTGCCGTGGATACAAATTGTCACTGTACATTGGAAGTCTTTCTGTGTGATTTTAAAAAACAAACATGAAACATTTACCGGACAAGTGCTACCCCTGGAGTGGATTATAGTTGTTTTTAGGGTACATTTTTAATATAATACAATACAATACAAAATAAAAGTAATCGTGAAATACAGCCCAACCCAAATTCATAAATACTTAATCGTTGAGACTCAATTTGTTAATATATTTATAGAGGCATATTCTCAAATAAATACTGAAACTTATGTTCTATTGTTGATTATTTTTCCTCCAAAATTTGGTGATTTTGTAAATATTTTTTCCATATTTCTTTCTAAAATGTGTTATGAAAAATGAAATGTTCATCGGCGTTAATGTTGCCAGATTTAGTTAAAAATACACAGGGGATACCTTGTTGAAATAATATTCATGACATATTCCTGAATAATTCTTGAATATTCATGCATCATGAATAATCCCATATATTTTTATTCTTGAAAAGTTGAAGAATTGTGATGAATAAAATTTTCATGAATATTTACCGATGAATAAATGAAGAATTATGAAGAAGTCTTTACATTCTTGCAAATCCTCATAAATGAGTCAGGAAATTATTATTTTAGGCGGGAAAAACATATAAGTAAAAAATTAGATTGAAGCTCTTGTTAAAAAGGAAAAGAGAGAAACAGGAACATATGCCAAAAGGTAGGTAACACATGTCTTTTTGTTTAGAACAATAATTAGATAGCTACAGTATTTCCACCTAGAGAGGAGATGTTTCAAGATCTGAAGATTTGGACACGAGCCATTTTAATTTTATCTGACTAGACAAAAGTTGACCTAGTTTATGATATCAACTGAATGGATAGGATGACTAGTGGTATTCAACTTTTATTCACACTTCAAGAATTATAATGAGTCCAATTTGTATTTCAGTAATATTCATGAATAGATCATGTATATTAATTCTTCTTTCATTAATAATTGATGAATAATATTGTGAATGTTTAATGGATGAACGATTGATAATATTATATCATGAATAATTTATGAATATACAGTGCGTATCAAAAAAAGGCAACAGATTTTTATCTCGAAAAAGCACAAAACCAGTGATAACAGCATTGATTTCATTCAATGTACCATAAAGCCACGTGTCTCCTCTTTACAATGATATATCATTCATGGATATATGGTCATGTTTGAGTGAGAAATCATTCCATTTGCAAAGTGGGCCAAAATTAGTTTGGGGCCAAGTTATAAACATCACAAAAGTTAGTGTACAGAGCCCGATGCGATGTTGGAAGAAAACATAAAACCAATGCTGACTGCATCCTTTTCATTCAATGTACCAAAAAGCCAAACTACTGCTCTTTGCAATGGAATATCATTCATTCACATGGAGTCATGGCTGGCCGAATAATCATTAATTTTGCAAAGTGGGGCAAAATTCAGCTCAGACCCAAGTTTTAAACATTGCAAAAATCAGTACAAGGCGCATATGGGCTATAGGAAGAAGGTGTGACAGGTGTGACATAGACAGTATAGTGTTCATACTCATACTCTTGAAAGAATACATCCTATATAACCCCTCCAAATTGCCACCACTCCCTTGCACATCTGTCCATGTCATGCATCGTTCAGCCCTGAGTCATATGTGGATTAAAGCAGAGAAAATCAGCCCATAGGCAATTCTTTCTCGAGGTTTTGCAATATTTGGTGGAGGAATTGTGAGTACAGATGCTCCTGAGATAGGTCCAAAAGAAAAAGTCACAACAATTCAAGTCAGGGGAACTTACATTGGCACTTAGCCCTTGCACTGATTTTTGCAATATCTAAAACTTGGCGCAGAGCCGATTTTGACCCACTGTGCAAATGGAAGGATTTCTCACCCAACTATTACCACATTTGGATGATTGCGAAGAGGAGAGACGTGGCTTTATGGTACATTGGATGAAATTTATGTAGTCATCACTAGTTTTTATGTCCCCACCACATAGTGTGGGGCCATATTGTCGGCCTAGGCGCGTCCGTCCGTCTGTCTGTCCGTCTTTCTGTCCGTCTGTCCGTACGTCCGGGAGTTTTCTCCAAAACCGCTACAGATATCACCTTCAAATTTTCAGGGATAACTTATGAGTGCATACAGATGTGGATGAAAAAAAATTAACTCGATACCAACTTCCTGTCAGCCATTTTGAAGTCAAATGCTAAAATCCTTGTCTGCAAACTTTAAGAAAAACGGCTTCACAGTTGCTTTTAAAACTTTAACATCTTGTTCAGCTCACTTCATTCTAGATCTGATTAGGTTTTGGACCTGTAAGCTCAGTCATGTCAGCCATTTTGAATGTTTTAAGAAAAGTTAGCGCACGATAATACTTTGTATCATATTGAATGGTGTTATTCAGTTTTCATACTTAAACTATTTAGTAGCTTTATAATTTGTTGTAAAAGCCTATGTTATTGTTAACAGTAGTTATATGTGATAATTTTGTTGAAAGAAATTAGCAAAAACTCATAATCACTTTTTTATTGTCGGCCATTTTGGATTTTTCGGTCCTAAAATCTCGTGTGTACAGTCTTGTCTACACGTTTTCAGGTGAACCATTTGGTGGATCAATTTCAAATTTTCAGGGATGATTCTTAGTATGAAAATCTAGATCTGATTAGTTTTTGGGCATTCTGGGTAAATGTCAAGGCAGCCATTTTGGATTTTCCATCCTAAAATCTTGTCAGTAAAGTCTTGTCTACGCATTTTCAGGTGAACCGTTTGGTAGATCAATTCCAAATTTTCAGGGATGATTCTCAGTATGAAAATCTAGATCTGATTAGTTTTTGGGCATTCTGGGTAAATGTCAAGGCAGCCATTTTGGATTTTCAGTCCTCAAATCTTGTCTGTAAAGTCTTGTCTACGCATTTCCAGGTGAACCGTTTGGTAGATCAATTTGAAATTTTCAGAGATGATTCTCAGTATGAAAATCTAGATCTCATTAGTTTTTATGCATTCTGGATAAATGTCAAGGCAGCCATTTTGGATTTTCCGTCTTAAAATCTTGCCCGTAAAGTCTTGTCTACGCGTTTTTAGGTGAACCGTTTGGTAGATCAATTTCAAGTTTTCAGGGATGATTCTTAGTATGAAAATCTAGATCTGATTAGTTTTTGGGCATTCTGGGTAAATGTCAAGGCAGCCATTTTGGATTTTCTGTCCTAAAATCTTGTCTGTAAAGTATTGTCTACACATTTCCAGGTGAACTGTTTGGTAGATCAATTTCAAATTTTCAGGGATGATTCTTAGTATGAAAATCTAGATCTCATTAGTTTTTATGCATTCAGGATAAATGTCAAGGCAGCCATTTTGGATTTTCCGTCTTAAAATCTTGCCCGTAAAGTCTTGTCTACGCGTTTTTAGGTGAACCGTTAGATAGATCAATTTCAAATTTTCAGGGATGATTCTTAGTATGAAAATCTAGATCTGATTAGTTTTTGGGCATTCTGGGTAAATGTCAAGGCAGCCATTTTGGATTTTCTGTCCTAAAATCTTGTTTGTAAAGTTTTGTCTACGCATTTCCAGGTGAACCGTTTGGTAGATCAATTTCAAATTTTCAGGGATGATTCTTAGTATGAAAATCTAGAACACATTAGTTTTTTGGCATTCTGGATAAATGTCAAGGCAGCCATTTTGGATTTTCGGTCCTCAAATCTTGTCTGTAAAGTCTTGTTTACATGTTTTCTGGTTAACTGTGTGACGGATCAATTTCAAATTTTCAGGGGTGCTTCTTAGTATGAAAATCTAGAACTGACTAATTTTTGGGCATTCTGGGTAAATTTTAAGGTGGCCATATTGGATTTTCCATCCTCAAATTGTGTCGTTAAAGTCTTGTCTACTCATTTTTAGGATAACCATTTGATGGGATCACCCATAGGTGGGGACATTTTGTACACATTTGTGTTCTTGTGTGATTTTACGAGATAAATACTTGTTGCGGTTTTTTATACGCCCTGTACAATTGATGAGCATTCCAAGACAAATAATGATTCAAAAGGATAAACAGTTAATGAAGAAATATGTGGCTTCGCCTTGAAAAGGTTTCAAGAATATTGAGGAATAGAATATAATGAATATTTCATGAATATATAAGCACTTGTGCCAAAGGGGAAAGGACTAAAAGTTGTAATGGAACTTAGCAAGAAAAAGCAAACTCTTAGTACATACCAGTCAAGGAAAACAAACCCCATATAGCCCAAAACCATGATCTAACGTGAAAAGAAACAATGTCTAATACCCCCTTTCCCCCACCATTCAAGAACAAATATCACAATCCAAGACCAGAAGACCAAGGGACATTTCATTCATACTGAAATTATTACAATACTTGTTGAAGAAAAAATTAGAAATTGATAGCCAATACCCATAACCTCAAAAATAGTTGTAGATACAAGTACTCATACAAGATGGAGCATGTTAATATAAGGCTTCACCTGGAGAAGATTTCAAGAATATTGAGGAATAAAATATCATGAATATTTCATTAATATACAAGTAATGAATATTTCACGAATAAACAGTTGATGAATACTTCAAGAAATATGAGGCCAAACTTGGAGAAGATTTCAAGAATTTTAAGGAATGCAATATAATGAATACATAAGTGATGAATATTTCATGAATATACAATTAATTAATATTTCAAGAATTTCCGTTGAATATTCATGATTAATTCACATTCATTTCAACAAGGTATGCTGATTACTCAATTAGTACAATATTAGTGCTAAATTATAATTTGTGGCATGAGTGCTCATGACAGTGGGCCAGTGGACCAGTGACATTCTTGCTGGGATCCAGTCACATGTTTTTTTTCATTTTATTTTTATTTTTATGAACTGTTACACATATTCACTTGACTTATTTACCACCAAGTTTTATAGTTTATAATATACACATCTTAATGTTTAACTTACTCCTAGTAATGAAGCAGTGTATATTTATGTTCACTTTTTCAAGAATAGATCAATATGGTGTCTATCATTTTGTTTCTTAGCTTCATACTGTTCCATGAAATAGCTACAGGGCTGATAATTTTTTGAAATGTTCAATGATATATTTATCCATATTTTCATGTAATTATAATGTAATTTATTAAATGTATTTTACTTCATCAATTTAAAAAGTCTATCAACATTTTAATTTCATCACTCATGATACATGTGCAATAAATTAGTTACTTATGGTATGAGTGCTCATTGAGCAATGGAAATTCAATGAAATCAGTGCTATTTCATCACTCATGATATGTGTATTAATTTAGTACTAAAACATGCACTTAATTAGTGCTCATAGTATGAGTGCTCATTGAGTAATGAAAAATCAAGAATGAAATTCACTATTTAATCACTCATCATAGGAGTACTAATTTAGTACTAAAACATGCAATAAATCAGTACTTATGTCCAGAAGTGCTCATTTAGTACTAATATTTACTGAAATGAGTATTCAATTAGCGCTAAAATACCATGGAGATATTCAGTGCCATATTGTTATTAGGGCAAATTTAGGAAAAAACTTTAGGCCCACCTTGTCATATCCGCAGCAGAGCCAATCAGATTACATAATTTTGATCATGTGACTTATAGTTATGATCATGTGACTAATAGTTATAACAATGTGGATATAATGGGGCAATCACTTACTAGTATACTTTGTAGGTGATTATCAAAGGAGATCATAAATCATGACACTCTACATGTAGTACAAACAAAAGAACTTGTTGTACATCAAATAACATGAAAAAATCAGGGGGTTACTTTAATTGTGTTTTTAGGAGACTCGATCTCTTTATCAATTTCGGACCTGTTATACCTTTACCAGTCAAAATGGAACATGAGTAATATTCTGTATAATTAGATGGGCAGACTAATGTTATACAGACAATAACAAAATGGAAGTGAATAAAAATTCAGTTTTCAGGGTTATTTTGTTATTTAAAAAACAAGAACCCATAAAAAGATGTGTTTTATTAATTGTTCATCGGTGATTTTTGCTCTGCAAGGGCTTACATATTAAAAAAAGAAGTTTCTAAAAATTACTACTCATAAGTTATGAAGCCCTAAATCTTCAACTCCTGATTTCTCAATATCAGCAAAAATGCAATTATGACAATGTGGAAATAAGGGGACGATGTGTATGATAGACTTTCTTATAATGAAACCCTTGAAGATTTATTCATACAGTTTCGGGAACACTGCATCAAAAATATTTTAGAATTTCTTGAAATACTAAAAATATTTATCTCCATATAATGACAAATATGGACCTTCTGGGCCCATTATGCAGTTCTCACTTATTTCACTGTGCTTATTTTGTATTTATTCATTTCTTCATATATTTATTTATAATATTAGAGTGTATTTGATTGGTGTACTTTAAGAGTTCATCAGTACTAAATACTATCGTCATCAGTTTATCATCTTTGAAAATGTGTTATCTGCCCTATTGCTGTTGAATGTATGTAGACTTTGATATTTAATTTTATCACGTCAAATTACTGCAACCATTCTTCATCCCAACAGCAGCCAGTGATGTTTCTGTTCTTATTGGGCTCTTGTGATCTTTTTCAGAAAATCAACCCCATATGCGACTCAAATCGTTCATTAGCTGCATTTACGACTAATGTTGTTTATCAGCCGATAAAGCGAATATCGGATCATTTAGTATATTTTGCATATACGGCATATATTGAACTCAATGTACGCTTTGTGGAAATAAGTCTTTGTAATTTTGAATCCTTCTTTAACCATTGAAATTAATTATCCCTAGCTAGATGTTTAACCTATAAAAGAACGACGAAGCTTCAACCTCGTTGCCATATCACCTGGGTCGTAACAAACGTTTGAGTACCTGTCACAAGCTAAAATAAAGGCTAAAAACCCAAATTTTGGTCCTTCCATAAGCAGGTTTGTAGGAAGTTCTATGAGTGTCCTCAGATTGTTCATGTTCTAAGCCAGCAAAAAAAGTCAGGGAATATGTTGGGGGTATTGCCTTTAATGTTTTTCAATTCTCTTCATGTCGTTGACAGAATAACCCAGGTTGGCGTTTCTTTATTATTATTATTAGGTGATCATTACTTGGCTTCCAGTTCAACAGCGTGGTTTGTTTTTCCATTCGACCAGATGTTTCCCTGTCCACGCATTCTTGCCATTACCCCGGGAACACAGCTGAGCAAAATGGCTACTGTCAAACTGCATACCGAACTGCCCACCATTTGGTAAAACCCGCCTAGAAATAGCGACGAGCTGTCAGATGGTCTGACGTGATAAAAGGCAGTTTCGATGTAAGTACCGAATATGGTGTAGCTCAAAATGTTGCAAAAGGTTGATATCCACACTGCAACCGCAAGAAAGGCAAAGAACTTGCCGTTGAGGATGCCCGGGTTTTTATACAGTGCTCCGTAACCGATTATGAAAGCGATGAAGCTGACACCCAAAAATACGCAGGAAACGATAGCCATTGCACCTGCTGCTTTATACGCATGAGGGAAATCCATGTTTACAGTCGACTGGCATACTCTTGCACCTTCTCCAATTTGGTTACACATATAGAATATTCCCATTCTTTGCTCTTGCACTACCGAACCGTTGGTTGGATTAGTTGATTTAATAGTTGCCCAATCATTCATGAAGATACACCTGATAACAAACTGTAGAGCCGTCGAAAAGGTTGCAATAATACCCCCTTCCATTCCCCCCAATGGCGTATAGCACCCTCGGCCCATAGTGTATATGTTAATCTAGCTGATCTCGAAAAGAACCTGTCAATTTCTGAGGAAAATGTTAATGTTTCTTTGCTGTTTTTAGTTCACAAAGCAGTTCAAGGGTTTATTTCGAGTTCTCCAGTATAGATAAGTATAGAAAATCAAGTCCTAAATTGTTGTTCTTCAATGTTTAGCTGTTTAAACCACCTTCTAAGTTAACGTTGGTAGAATGAACACTTAAAAGCAGCATCGACTTAAATATTAGCCCTGATACTGATTAATCCTTTGTTATCATTACACATTATGAAAACCATAATAGATAAAGAGAGATAAGATATAGGTATGTTCTAGAATTGTCCTGTGGAGAGTGACCACAGTACAAGTATATCTGTCTTAAAATAAATCATCAAGTAAGGTTAATGATAAATTCAATGATAACGTCATTTTGCCTAGCACTTAATCCTAAACATAAATAAATGATTTACATCTTTTGACGTAGGTCGGCTATTATCATCACAGCAAGCAATGTATGTGACTTATCTTATTCATAATATAAAGATTCTGCATTGCTTCAATCAAACGCATATAATAAACTTATCTGAGAATATTTTCTTACGTTCTTTTAAAATACAATTATACATAGGCCTTACAAGCGTCAACGCACTCTTATGGCATGTTGGAAATAAAGATGCAAACATACATTAAAGGAAATGATTATATTAATATATTTTGATGATTTACAAAGTAAATACAAGGTAATATTTCAAGCAACCAGACAGGGTTATCAAATGCATCATTCTGTATTATTTACCGTTAGCAAATTCGTCGCAATGACAGGTTCCAAAATCAGGATGACAGGGCTTCTCGACGTCGAGACTGCCATTGCGCAAGCAAGCACATTCCCTGAAACAAAGGTAAATATTGAAGGTAATTGGACAATTTAATGATAATTACATGCACTTTCTTAAATGTCAACATTACTCCGTTAATCAAATCACAAATTGATGTATTCGGCCTCTCGCTACCCTAATTAATCCCGAATCATTATTTGAACTCTGAGTTGAAATGTCTTTGAATTGACAAAAAATCGGAATTGGAAGATATATTAAAAGACATGCATTCGTTTAGAGTTTAGGAGTTTCAAAGGCACAAATCGTAAAGACAATACAATATTTAGTATAATGTAACAATACTTTGAAGAGATCTCTAAACAATAGCGAACTCCTGCTCTCGGCAGGCGTTTTGAATTTTAAGGCACGAATCAGTGAAATGATACCATAATACTCCTATTCGCGATAAGAATTCGGATTTGGCTGAAATTGCTTGTGCTTGCATGGTTTCCTTTACCAGAGGACCAACTGGGTAAAACTCCATATTGATCCGAAAAAAGTTGAAAAGTGGAACACCCTAAAATATTATATACATTAAGCTATGTTGACAAAACGTTTAGCTTTAGAGGGTGTAGACGTGATAGGAATTGTTTTTGTTAGCATTGTAAGGGAAACATTTGCTTGATGCTGGAATTGGCCAAGTAAAATATTAAAAATGTCATCATTTACTTGCAGCCGGTACTGCTAAATCCATAGTAATTCGCCGAGCAACGGTCACATTTTTTGCCTTCTACCCCAGGTTTACAGCGACACTGCCCTGTTCTGTCACACTGTAGATTTTCTGAACCTAGAAACACGTTGTTATACTGTAGACACGATACAAATATATGTCATATTCCGCAACGAATATGGCATTATCACTTGCGGTGTATGACAGATTCACTTGCGGTATATGGCATACTCACTAACCAATGAGAACGTGATACGGAAGTACGCAATTGCATCGATTGAATGAACTAGATTTAACGGGTAAAAGTTTATGAATTATTATAATGATTGCTGAATCAACAGTTCAGTGCGTTGAATATATCAACTAATGCAGAAGTACCACTCAGCAATCTCACGTCATAAACGTACTCAATAAATCAAGGATTCATATATTAGTACTCGAAGCACTAAATTTAATGGTAATCCTGCGTAGTTTTACATTTAGAGTCAATTCTCATAACCAATCAAATTATGGCTTTCTGTATCACGTTTTCATTTGCGGTACTTATCATACTCACCTGCGGTATATGGCATATATTCCGCAAGTGAGTATGGCATATTCCGCAACTTAGTATCGGGTATTCACTGAAATCAATGTATCGCATATTCACTGCAGAATATACCATACTCACTTGCCGAATATGCCATTTAATGTAGGTGACTATGGCATATTCACTCGTATCACAAATACCGCGCAACCATGAATATATGCCATATTCCGCGTAACACACGTCATCTTAGTAAAGGGAGTTCAAAGTGCTGCCGAATATGCCATACAATGCAGGTGAGTATGGCATATTCACTCGTGTCACAAATACCGCGCAACCATGAATATATGCCATATTCCGCGTAACACATGTTATCTTAGTAAAGGGGGTTCAAAGTGCTGCCACAACGTCTGTTTACACAGTATATGATCAGCACCAATGCTTTTGTGATGTAATAGTATACGTATTATATTAATGCAAACCTTACCTGTTGAATTACAAGCACAGTTTTCACAGCGCCCTTCTTGACTTAAATAGTAGTTCTCCTTGCAATTCTCACAATGTGGTCCAGTTGTGTTCTCTCTGCAGTTCAAGCAATGGCCACCTTCACCACTGGCCTCAAAGAGACTTTGATCAAAATAGCAACGGTCGGATTTGCCATTACAGTTACATGCTATCAGCGGAGAGAAAATATTTTATCAAGATTGATAACGACTTACATTGCTCAGAGGTAAATTCACAGATCGGTATTCACTTTTGCATTATTGGATTATGGCTATTAGTACAGTACTTGAGGATGTGCACAGAATGTCTTGTCAATTGCAAACACTACTAGATGTAGTCTTTGAATTACTATCTACAATGAAAAATACTAAGTATTTGAACATACAGTAAAAGTTAAACTTGTCTATTCAGAAAGCCTCTTGGACATGCAAAAGTAGGTGTTCACGTTTCAAGGTTTTCTTAATATGAAAACCTTGAACCGAAAAGGTGCTCATATTGAGATCAGGGAGGTGTTTGGATAAGCAGGTTTCAATGTACCTACATAAGTCAATGCTTTGGCATTTACCTTCACACGCGTTGCCATCTGTGTCAGTTGCTCTCTTCCATGGCTTGTTGTTGTAGAAGGGGAGACACTCTCCACAGTCTGGCCCCGTTGTGTTGTGTTCACAACTACAAACTAGTTGCCCCTCAAGGCCCTGCTCTGTACTATTAACACACTTACCGGCATGCCCATTACATTTACAACTGAAAGGTATTGTACGTTACGTGTATTAGGATAAATATACCTTTATGTACTATTAACGTATTAATAAGACGATCCAAAGGACCGTTTCCTTCTATTTCTCGAACGTGTAAGTGTAAGTTAAATTTTTTATTGTATGTTATTTCATTTTCATATTTTATTTTTATTTCAAGTGTTTGTACATATAGTTATTTACAATGGCATCCAATTGACACCCAATGTGGTGATGTTTCCAAAGTATATACCACATTATAGAGCATAGTACGTCAACATATGATTATTTAAAGTAAATAGCAAAACGCACCGTCCACCAACAGAAATGTCAGAAATGGCATAGAAATAGGACTTCAAAACCTGTGGTTCTCCAAATACTTCATCTCCCCATGTGTTGATTCGGCTGAGGACCAATCTGATACCTCTAGCAGTCACCCACTTCTATATAATAAAGTTAAAGCAGGATGATTACAGATTCATTAAATAATTGAAAATAATAGCCAAGGTAGAAACTAATTCGTATGACTATGTACGCTAATGGAATTAAGCTATTGTTTTATATCCGTTATGATATATAAGTTACCGTTGTCAAATCAATTTATACCTTTTCAGAATAATGAGGTTCACCCCCAATCAGATTTCTGGATATCTATTCAGTAAATGTTTCACCAAATAAATTAATATAGAAAATTAATCGAATTGTCTTAACTTTTTGCACGCTAAGTGTTAAGTTTACTTTATGAACATTAAAGTTAAAGAGCTTCAAATCATTTTTACGCCTCTTGTCTAATTTCAATGGGAGAAGTTTTTTGAAAAATAATTTTGACTTTGGAGACCTATAACTTTGTTGAACGTGAAGAAATTATGCTTTTTTGTTAAACAGAGTTAGGAAATTCAAATTTTTCCCTAACTTGGATAGCTGGATATTTTGCCATATGACTTGCGACAAACCTATCAGTTCCCATTGGTTAAACATGGGAATAGGCGAGTGGGAGATCCAGCAAAAAGGCCTTATTTGTTGACCTTAATTAAGATAGCTTGCAACCGCATGAATCATACCTGACTATCATAATATGAATATGTAGATTTCAAAAATGACAATAATAAAAATTGAAAAATGGCCGATCACTATGGAAACGGGACGCAAAAGCCACGCCCATTTTTTAAATTTCTTACTTGGTGGTAAATACATTTTAAACTGTAACTTTCTCGATTTTTAACAAATCTTTACATTATTGGTATCTGCTGAAGCGTAATAATGAGTTCTTTCACCTCAAGCATAAATTATGTTAATTCGCTCATTTGCATATCCATTATGACGTCATAACCCTTCTTTTGGCCTCAATTTTCCATATAGTTACAACAAAGTAACAGTGTTTTATTAGTTACACTTCTTAAAAATGAATGAAAATAAGTAAATACAGTGCCAATACAAGCAAGAGTGTGTCGGCTTTTTGGATATACTGATATTGAAGGTTGCATGTTGGAAAGAATATCATAAAATCTCGTTTCCATGGTTACTGTGAACTTTTCAGCAATTTAGGCAATAAATACTTTTTGGACTGTAACTTTCTTTGATTTTAAGCAATCTTAGCAGTATTGGTATCAGAAGAAGCGTAATAATAAGTTCTTTCACCGCAAGCATAAATTATGTTAATTGGCTCATTTGCGTATCCATTATGACGTCATAGCCCTTCTTTTGGCCTCGATTTTCCATATATTTACAATAAAATAACAGTGTTTTATTAGTTACACTTCTTAAAAATAAAGTAAATACAGTGCCAATACAAGCAAGAGTATGTAAGCTTTTCGGATATACTGATATTGAAGGCTGCATGTTGGTTAGAATAACATAAAAACTTGTTGCCATGGTTACCGTGAACTTTTCAGCAATTTAGGCAATAAAAACATTTTGGACTGTAACTTTCTTTGTTTTTAAGCAATCTTAGCATTATTGGTATCAGGAGAAGCGTAATAATAAGTTCTTTCACATCCTGCATAAATTATATTAATTAGCTTTATATTTACATATACATTATGACGTCATAACCCTTGCTTTGGCATCAATATTCCATATATTAACTATATGATAAGATTGTTTTAATGGCCCCACGTCTTAATAATGGTTTAAAGTAGGTATATGTATTGCCAATACAAGAAGAGTATGTCAACCATCTAGATATACTGATAAATTAAAGTCTTCACGTTGGTAAGCATACCATAAACACTCGTTCCCATGGTTACCATGTACTTTTTAGGCGATGAATCCTATTTTGACTAACTTTCTTGGTCTTATATTAATCGATTCTGGTATCCGAGAAGCGTAATAATAAATTTTTCACTTCAAGCATAAATCATGTTAATATGGTCATTTGTTTATCCATTATGACATCATAACCATTGTTTTGGCATCAATAGTCTATGTGTGAACAATATAATAAAGACACTTTTAAAACTATTGCCAATACAAAGAAGAGCATACCAGCCATTCAGATACTTTTCAATAAGAATAATTGAAAAATGGTTCATTGCTATTACCCATTGCTTGATTAAACCTTAATAAAAGTGTATTAGTGTTATGTAACATCAAACGTATCACTGGAAAGAGCACATTAACGTGAACAAAAATAATCTCATTTTATTTGATAAGAATATTCACCAAGGTATTTATTTGACATTGATGTGGAGCAATTCGTTAAATATACCTAAAAATGGAAATTTATGGATATTATGATGTCATAATTGCCGGGTGAACAATTGAAACCGACTGAATAATACATAGGGTGACGGGATATTTTATTACCTTCAATATGGTACCAATATCATTAAAAATAGTTAAAAATTAAAAAAGTTATGGCCAATATTGTGTTTATCATACTTTATGGCTAATGAAAAGTGGGCGTGGCACTTTGCATCCGTTTCCATAGTAACGGGCCATTTTTCAAAACTTTTCATTGTCATATTTGGAATCTACATATCAATATTATTATTAATTAAAGTTCCATATTTGATCCTGCTCCCACTCGCCTAGAATGTCGATTTTCAAAACTACATAAGATTTGTCATCAATATCCGACCTATTGTAATTTTTAGAAAAATGATATTTCAAGCCCTAAAAGTAGTCTTTTCTTTACAGACTATGCACATTAAAATCCAAACATAAATAGGCTTTAGCACGTAATCCAATGGTAGAGTTAGGGTTGCCAAACTTCTGGAGGGGAGTGTATGTATTAATCTATTATCGTGTTGTCAGATTTCAAAACAATTGTGAATTATGAAGAGAAATAATATACATTTAATACTGTGGGCTAGCACTTGTTCTGCCCATAGCCTAATACACATTGGGGAAAACAGAGGTTACTTTAATCTAAAATGGCGACTTCAATAATTCGGACTTCTGAACTGTATCAGCATACCTGCAAGACGTCACTTTCCTCGAATTTACGAGCACCGGGTCGTTTTTCCAGAGTACTGAACATAACAATGCCCCCTGTTGATGGCGAGATATCAGAATATTTATCGGTGCAAATTGCTTCTGTCGCGCCAGATATAATCCAGTGTGTATGTTTGCTTTTTCCATATGTTTCCTCACAGGAAGCACTGTAAAATTGATAAGGGATCCAGTCACCATCTTCCGTTTCCTGGTTGTAGATGGCAAAACTTTCTGGACGACTAGACTTGAACTTGATTCTCAAAGCGGTTATGTCGAATGATTTTCCTTCAATCAAAAAGTTTAATATATTTTATATTGATAATGTTAATATGATAACTGTTTTGTCCAAAATCGGCCGGCAAGCCTGGGCATCATTCGGGCGCCGTCGGCCGATTTTTAGACGTCGCCCGGGCGCCGACAGAGTTTTATCGCGGAGATAAAAGTTATGGTCATCGTATAATTATCTTACGACTTTCGGTGGCATCGTAAGGTCATTTAGGGAATTTATTTAATTTTAAAAACTGATTTGTTCGATAATTCTCAACATAGCATGCCAAACTTTAAGGAGAATGGGGATAAGGCCAGCGGACCAAATATGAGGAAGGCCTCGGGAAAACAAACGGGAAAAGACAATTACAATGCTAGAGACCTGGTAATGATGAAGATTTAGATATGGCCTATTTAGCATTATATATAACAGTTTAGCTTAAAAGTGATCGATAAAAGAAAATAAGAAATATTGGACGAAATAAAAAAAATGTACTGGACGCAAGCCTGTTAATACCGGATGACTTGCGGCCAGTACATTTTTATTTCGTCCGGTATTTCTTTTCATTTCAATCATTTTTCTATTTTCAATCATTTTAAAGATAAAATTTGCCGACTGGAAGCTGTATTCTTATTCCATACACAAGAAATTTACATATCTTGTCAATGAAATGGTAAATAAAAAGAAATCTGACTCGATTCGTGCATTTCGGAAATCGGGAAAAATCAAAGTATTTCCGTGCTTAACCCCACATTACAAAAATTCTAGATGAATGCCTGTCAGGATTGTGTGTTCCTCAATGTACTGGGAATCTGATGAGCCTGTTTCTAGATCGAAACACTGTAAAACGATCACAGGATACCGAGTAAAATCACACCTACCTCTCTCTGGATCAAAAATGGAGTATTTCCAGTTGTACCAGGCGAAAATACTGAACGCGTTTCTACCCCCTGACTTAACCCTTCAATATATCACTTGTCAGTGATTTTGTTTGTATTCAGGTAAATGGAGATTCCTAATTCCTTAAACAAACATTACCCCGTGAAGGTCAAATAAATAAAGCCAATTGTCCCAAGGTTCTGATACATTGTTTATTAAAAAGTTTTTAGTAACAGTTGTAACAGTACGGTCTATTATTTCTACGGCTGCCGTAGATATGCTACTTTCAGATATTTTGGCAGTCTTCAAATCGACTATACGCCAGACGTGTAACCGTTGAAACTTTAAACGGGTTGGCTACGGCTTGTTTAACTTCTATGGTGACCGTAGAAATGAAATTATTATAACTCCGACTTATCATTTCAAGATCTGGGTTTACGAAAAAGACCGACCACCGACCAGTTAATTTCCACAGTTGGGTCCACTTGGTCGGCTGTCGGTCTTTTACATAGAGATTAAAAGATGCAAAATAATAAGAAGAAACGGCATCGACAACTTGGAATCCAATGAGTATAGTACAGCAGCTTTTTTAGGTCGTGATTTAAAAGTGTTAAACCATTTTGGATCACGATTGAAAACGCACATTACATCGTAGTGTCTGGTCATATAGTCCACGGTATGAAATTTCTAGGACGTCTAATTAAGGAGTTGGTGGCACCATATATGCATAATGATATTTGAGCTTATATTTAGATACCTACATGTGTCCCGCGTTTTATTTTTGTATAGCCGTGATAAATACGGCGGGCTTTTAGGCCGAATAATGCATGTCATTATCAGGGGTCAAAAAACGTGTAAAACGTTTTTCGTATTTTTTTCATAATTTAAAGTACAAACATTAAAAGAAAATCACATGAAAATATTTTTAATATATACATCAAGTTTCTTGGCTATAATTTTGCGGTATGTGTTCCTTGAAATACCTTATATATAAAAAATCAAGGTTTCAACATTTTATGTCGTTTTGGAGATATTGGTGAAGCAATCAATATATTGGCACCTTTATTACCTGTGAATAACATATGGTTATTATATGTCAGTTTTTTACTAAATTAGTTGTAATACATTTTGAGATATGGACAGCCGTATTCAGGGGTCAATTGCCAATAAAGGGAGACTCGTTGTTCTTCCTTGTCTAATACCGTCTGCGATTGAAAATTGTTGCATATGGTTGAACATGAATTGGTTGCTTATATAAGGACCATATCTTCAACATTTGACTACATGGATCTTTGAGAAATGTCGGCAATAATGTAAAAATGAATCGATGTAATGCATCGCAGTGACAAATATAATTGTTGTTATATTATACTGTTTGTTACACATTAATAAAAAATCAGAATTCTGAAGTAACAAAACATGAACGCACAAGTGGAAATGGAAAAGGCACAGCAACAAATGGAATGTGCTCAAGAGTATACTAATATAAGGGAATATCAAAGCATTAACATGCAAAATGCCAACGCATATTCGTTACATACACCGAACGCCGAATATGTACTGTCAATGGACTTTATGTTGGAAACTATAACAATATGTCATACCACTCTTGGTGGTGACATAAGAAACACTAGCAATCCCAAAGTCAAACGTCTATCAACCCCTCCCGACCCACGAGCTAAGTATAAACATCATTCCCAGACCATTACACCAAGTAGCACCTCATTATACTCGAGTCATTACAACACAAATTGAATAAAAATACAAATTGTGAGCCAATACTCATAACAATACTAATAGTATATTAGATATACAATATTTAGAATTTGGTCTTAATGCTTTGATATAGATATTATAATTCGTTTAACGTTTAAAAGGGTCAGCATCCCACTGCAAACCTAAAGCCTTCAGTTTTAGCAATTTAATTGACAATGCCTAAAATAATGCCCACATCCTTCAGTATTTCGAGTACATAAACTTAAACGGTCGCAAAATCCAGAAATTATTTTACAAAAAGGAACACTGTTCATTAAACAAAACAAAATACCTCAAATAAAAATCAGTGACTATAGCATTTGGATTCACTCGCATAAACCAATCCTCTCATGAAAGCTCTAATATAGAACTAATGATTCGTTTATAAATCACAGGTAATATTGCCTAACATAATGCATTCGCAAAAAAGTAACATCTCACATGAAAAATCAAAAACATAATAGCCTCATGAATATACTCACAAACACGAATACCTCACATATAAATCGTAACTGATATAACAACTTCTTCAGTATAGTATATTCCTCGCTTATTATGTGGTACTGTATAAAATGCACTCAAAAAACCTAATACTCCACATCACGCGGTACTAACTTCGACCGTTAATTTGATTTTTTGACCTACCAGGTGCTTGAAAATCAAGGATTGCGAGTCTCATTCTGCACCGTTTTTCTTCAAACTTATACCATTAAAAGCAAAACAAAATTGCCTTTATGTCGGTGCATTACTTGATTGTAAAGAGTCCCTCGTTAACGCAGCGTTTTGGTCCCCAGCTGTCGGAAGGCCTTCTTACAGCTGGGGACCAAAATGCCGCTGGAAGTAGGGTCTCTTATTAAGAGAATAATGTACCATCAGAAAGGGATTTTTGTTATGCTTTGAATGGAACAAGTTTGAAGAAAAACGGTGCAGAATGAGACTCATAATCCTTGATTTTCAAACATCCGGTAGGTCAAAAATTCAAATTAACGGTCGAAGTTAGGACCGCGTGCACATAAAAACTTGGATTAATCAAACGTTATAGGATGCGCCTCACATAAAAAAACAATATAGCATCACAGAGTGCACTATTTGAAAGGAATACCTTTTATAAAATTTCAAATATTATCACTACTAGCCACCTAGTTACACAGACGTATCGTCAGTGTATCATGGCTGAACTACTTCCGGGATTTGAATTTGGTAAGATATTCTTATTTCTCGATTTAAATCTACTTATAAGTCACGATGTGGATTATAATTTGGCTCGAAGTTATGGGAGATAATCTAGTTTGAGAATGTGTAGATGGTTTTAGGTTTGGTATGTTAACGAAGACGCATTTCACATATTTAGTCCCTCGCTTTCGTTACACTGACGACCGGCATTAATATTGCCAATATTACACTGATATTGGTCGTTCGTCAGTGTAACAAAAGCGAGGGACTAAATACCTGAATTGTGGCTTCGTTAACATATAAAACCTAAAACCATCGACACTTTCTCAAACAAGACTATCTTCCTTAACTTCGAGGCAAATTACTATCCACAGCGTGACTGTTTAGTTTTTAGTTTAAAATAGTTTATTTTTGTGTCACTGATATTACAATATACATATAAAATACATAATAAAAACAACATTTTGTAACATCACCAGCCGGTGCCGACTTATGAGACACAGTATACATTATATCTGAGTGTCACCCATTACTACCCCCAATGGGCAGCTTGGGTCAACATTCATAAAGACAGAGACAAAAAATGTCTCTGGTAAAAATTTATACAATAATAACCAATGATACAAATAAATAAATATAAATTGTCTGATTAATCAGTTTGGCATAAATAAGCAGTTCATGGAATGATATTGTCAATCATTATATTAAATACATATATTGCACCTAATGTGAGATGGATATTGCATAACAAATACATGTATTGCACTAAATGAGAGTGGCATGTTGCATATGGTCAAAAATTACAATAAATACAAATATCGCACAAAATGTGAATTGTATCATGCATATGGTCGAAGACTGATATTACAATAAATTCATATATTGCACTTAATGTGAGTAGGATGTTGCACTATGGTCAAATATTACAATAAATATGAATATTGCACTAAATGTGAAATACACAATGCATACGATCGAAGACAACTATTACAATAAATACATGTATTGCACTAAATGTGAGATGCATATTGCATGATAAATACATAAATCGGGAAATAAAAAAATCTTACCGAAACCTAGTCCCGGAAGTAGTTCCGCCATGATACACTGACGATACGTCTGTGTAACTAGGTCGGTAGCAGTGATTATACAGAATATAGAATGAAGTTAAAAGAAACTTGTACTCCCCTCAAATAAAGTGTATGGATAGTACTCACAATTAGCAACGACCCAGGGACAATGACTACCACTCCACATAAAACATTGACAATGATATTGAACTTCTTCACTACTTCTTCAGCATAGAATTTACTCAGAAATGAGTAATACATGGTATTCAAGTATAAATTAAATAACCTCCTTCATATGTGACATATAATTTCACCCAGAAACTAGTTTTTCTAGCAATACCCGATATAAAGACAAAAGAGATATAGCCTGGGAGTAGCCATTTTGTCCCAAATTCTATCCAAAATGTCATGAATATATACGCACAAGTGCCAAATGCGAAAGACCAAAAATGACAAAACATAGCAGGAAAATGAAACGTCTAAGATCTCATTGCCAAATGGAAAAAAATCCAACTATCCCAAATCAATATACAACGTGAAAGGAAAATGTATCTTACAACACTCACAACAATTCGTAAAAGTGCAATTCGCATGGCTTTGGCGACATAGAGTTTGTGCACAAATGAATAATGCCTGATTTGATAAAAAGTTACAAATTATAAAATGAAGTATGGGTTCCTAAAACTCGAATGGAAAGATCGGAAACGAGAGATGTTGGATTGCTGAAAAAATTGAGAGAACCGTTCTTACAAAAAATGATTCGATGTCGTCTTTAAATATCGGAGGTTCGTCTGAAAGATTGGATGTGTGCAACACTATAAATTTCTCCCAATTCCAATCGGGACTTTGCACGCGATGGGTGAGTTGATATGATTGATAGGGTCACACCTTGGAACAACGATACATATCGTGAACACAGATGATAGTCAATGAAATAAAATATAAATGAGTACCTTTAATTTCGTATAATTCACAATCTCGCCCTGCTGAATGAAATCATCTCTAACGGTGTCACTCATCCATCACGAAGGTTGGTTTCTGGTTCTTATTAATGGCAGTATGGCTCTCACTTATAAATTTACATTTAGAATAGAACGAACATTTGTCAAGTTATGATCGAAACAAAAACTAAATCTTGTCTTCGCAAGGGACAGTTCAAAAAACTAAATTACAATTTTGAATTTCACAAATCTTGCTCTACTGCATCAAATCGTCCTGAATATAGTCACTCGTCAACCACGAAAGTTGATTTCTGGTTTCTTCATCAATCATTCTAGCGTTCTCATTTATAAAACAATCGATAATTAAAACTGAAATATATTATAATGCATTCAATGTTTACTTTCTTACAACATTGCATGGTTATTTTATTGTGGGAGCACAGCATTGTGACACTATGATATTTGCGAAGCATTTGACTGCGCCTTCTTTATTCCTCGATGCAAATCATCTAGTTTAAAAATGTAAACATTCCAATACCAAAATTAGATTAATTATTTAAATGATACATCCTTCATATTTTTATTTGATTACGTTTTGAATACCATTAACAATAATCTGTTGTTTGACCCTTGAAAACGCAAAAAATATTTCCGTGAATATATTGTTTCTATAAGTACAAAACTAATATGTTACTAATTATAGATTTTCTGAATATTTCGCAAAATTTGGTCACATCTGCTCTGTCTTATTTTTTTCTAAATAATAAAACGTTGAAAAGTACCCTAGTGCAATGCACTAATTGAAAAATGACATTTACGTTAAAATAGTATTATATTTCTATGTAATCCTAATCCTTTAAATTATATATAAGTTTCGATTTACAATTTGAGTCTCATAAAATGCACTAAAATGCGCATGAAAAGTTTCACGTTTTTTGACCTCTTGTGATGACAGACATAATGCGACCCGAAAGCCTTAATATTTTTTACCAAATGGCATTTTCAAAGCATGAGGACATAAGCCCCTCCCTAAATATCGGTTCAAATGTCGTTATGCATATATGGTGCCACGGATTTGTAATATCTATGAGCCATACCATGGACTAATATTTTAAGTATACGATTGACGTGTATTCAAAATCGAAAATAATTTGAGGCTAAACCTATGCGGTCGGTCTTTTACACATTTTACTCGAACCCTGTTTTGAGGCTACCTAGAGAAAATATCTGTAGGGTTGTTCTTTTTTCATGTTTTCTACAGCGACTCAACGGCCTGTAAAATGTGATACGCCGTGCGGAGATTTCCTACTGTTGCCGTAGGAATTCACTGGTCTCAGGGAATTACGGTCGCCGTAAAGCAAATTTATTATAATATCTTGTAGCATTATCCTTCTGATGAAAAATTATCGTATTATCATAAAGAGATCGTGAGTAAAAACTAAATTTATTAATGAACAAATATTGCCACGAAATACAAATTCTTGATTTAGATCTAGACATGATTCATGCTTGCTTGGATGAAAATTGAAATGATACTTTGGGGTCAATGTAATTTGTTCAGTTTTTGTATTTATCACATTCCCTCCACACGTCTAGTATTACCGGAAATATTTATCGGATAGCATAGCAAAGCCTGGCAACGCTGTTACTTAATTAAAATTCGGAAAATGACTTTTTTGATGATTTCTAATCGCCAATCGTGGACGGGCTTTGATGAATGATCCAAAGGGGACCTCTGGTTTCCAAATCTATGCAGGTTACATTTAATCGTATGATCTGTAAATTGAAGCCCTCTGATTGGTCAGTTCTTGTGCAGTACCAATCTGTATTGCTACTGAGATTGTCCCCATTCATCATCTTAGCAATACAGAAAATATTGGTCCGGAGAGGAAAATCTAGAGAAGTCTTGGGGATCGCGCCTAAGATCACACGATACAAACGTTATATCGTTATATGATATGAAGCGCAGAACAGGATATATTCTGCTCGAGACATTCGTACAGAATGTCAAGAGCAGGATCCTGTATTGCACTTCAAATCATCAAATAACTTATAAGTATTATCGTTGCACTATTTACTAACTTATTACTGAAAAAGCAGCGCTCTTTATCCGTAGAATCCGAAATTGGAAACCACCACTTGAATTCTGAGATGTCATATCTAGGCTAAACGTTATTTAATGAGTTATATCGTTGGACTTTGAAAATGATAAGAACACCAAGCTATGTATTTAACTGTACACCTGAAGACGCAAAATTGAATTATAAATTCAATTTACCACATTGATGTCGTTTGAGTCGTAAATGGAGAATCAACTCAAATTTAGTTACCAATTTAGTTCTCTACAGTTTTGTCATCTAGCATGTATCCATATACCCTTTGCATTCGTTTGACTTCACTTCTTAAAAGAGAGCTTCGTCTCTGTAGTTTAACTAGACTCTGCACGCAGGGTAGCATCCATACAATTAAACATGGAATCACATTTTGTATTAAGAGCATAGCTATAGCGTAGCTTGTCTGTATTTTTGAATTTCAAGTACTTTAACTTTGGAGATACAAAAACCCTTCCAAATGCAAATTAATGATAATTATTGTATATGTAAATGTTTAATTGACGTAAACGTACCTAGATTGAGTGTGATGTTGACCATGCTGGGATATTGTACATTTCCCTGTAACATTGTCTCGGATTGCCACCATGTCTTGGTGACATAGTTGTCTAGATCGTTGATATTCGTAGCTGGGTGTGAAAGTCCTGCATCACTAGCATTACATATAGAACACGTGTTCTGTGTGTAACCCGTCTTTTTACAATACTCAATTGGTTCTCCGTTTTCATTTGAAACACTTTTTTCTCCACACGTATTTGTTGCTTTCACCGGGACATTGAAAGCAGCGTTTTCATATCCAGGCATGCAACTCTTTGCCCGGCCTTCTGTGTCATAGCACCGACTGTAAACTCCTTGAGCGGTACACACATCTAGGAGTAATCTTAGATACACCAATCCAATCAATACTTTACAAAACCTTCCCACCATTTTTGTGTTCCAAGCTCTAGTTTGCGCATGTATTTACATGTAGTGTACTTTTGATAAAATTCTAATCACAAGATGTCGCCCATGTTCAGCTGCTCTCTCTTCATTATATCAGTCTAATGTGCAGCACATTTCAACGTTTAATTAATTTCAGCAGTTTATAAGAAGATAATTTTGTTCTCTTTTGGTGGAGGAAATCGAACAGAAAATGACCACAGTCGCAAAATAACAAGAAATAACAAAAAACAAAGTGACACAATCATCGAAATAATGATACTTCTAAAAATCTATTAGTGAATAATTCCTTCAATTATGTCTGTATTTATATGGGATATTTATCATTATATCGCCGGAAAAGAATATTATGAATAGGAAACCACAATTAATAATGATAATTTTCCCATCCGAAATATTATACAGTCATGCAGTGAAATGGTGTTTTGCAATGTTCAGTAAGACGCAAGCAAGCATGTCTCTTTAAATACAATCAGGATTCATATGTAAGGAAGTTTACAAATGATTCTAACCTTCAGGATTCATGCAGGGTTCATATTGAGGGTAGTAAATGTAATAAATGTATTCTTCTTACTCACTGACACATGCCAACGAATGCTACATATCTCTGTTTTAGATAATTTTGTAGATGCTGATATCTAAAGGTGCCATTTTTTACATTGATACGTTTCTTGGAATACATTATAACTTAAATCATTAATAATGTTTTCCTAAAGTGATTCCATGATAAATAGACAGTAACTGTGTCAATGTTTTATGTTCAACATTGTTTATGTTCAACCTCGATTATTATGTAGGAAATTAAAATTCCAAATGTCAGGTATCAACCCGTGTTTTTTCGCAATATTTAGCCTTTTATCATGATGGATCGCCAGAAAATGCATGTACTTTTCATTTAGATCAAATGTCTTTAAATTCAGAGGTGCCAGCTATAAACTAAAACAAAAATTCAAACTACCCGCTATTATTTTGATTGCACAAAACGAAATTTACAATCCCGGGGAGCACTTTGGATTCTTAAAAAATCGTTCGAATTTTCACAAGAGGTTTTATGCATTTTCATTGCTTTGTTTGGGCCTCATCTGAAATCATACTCAAATATGAGACCATAATTATAAATTAAAATGAAACATTAGACTCATCGGGTTAGATGATAACTGATATTTATATAAATGTAAGTCGGCATGTGTTCGACATTTAATGTACACATATGATGTATGCATCAACTTGTGACCTTAATATGAATTCTTGACCATCATATTTGGCTTTCGAAAATAAATTAAGTTGGAAGTTACAGGTGGGCTATTACCGAGAACGTCAATCACATCCGAATATAAGAACAACGTCAAGTATTAACAATACACTTTTCGCGCATTTCGAACAAGGCAAGGTTCTGTGATCCTGCAATGTGTACTCCAAAAGAAAAACGTCAACAATTATCAACAAATATCAACAATATACTCGTATAATAACAAATGGGTATGAGATTTACATTCGAAGTTACAACTTTCAAAATATTTGCTTCATCCAAGCTCAGTAAATATTGAGGAACATCCGAATTTCGTATGTTGACTTAGTTACTGAAACTAACTGAACTTTGAAACGATCTTGCCAGCATTTATGCTTTAGGCCTGATGCTTTAGGTCTAAGTTTAGGCGGGAGTTTAGGCCTACTTGTTGTTGGTTGTAGTTCAATGAGACATATTTTTCAAAAATAAGACACTGGTTAATTTGGTGGTTTAACTATCTAACGATTTTCCATGATATAACATTTTGGGTATTTCTGTCAATGACCGTTGAATTAGATAAGATAATTAGATAGTGTAATTAGTTAACATAGGCTAGCATATCCCTAAATAAGAATAACAACGGCAAATCCCTATTTGGATCACCTATCCAACTCTGTTATTATGTTTGAAGATTTTAGAATATCATCACAGTTTTAAAAAAAACTATTGTAATAAAGAAATAGATTAATATTCAAATTTTTATCAGGGTTTAAATTGTTATCCTATGAAAACGTTTGGTTGCCAATCTTATAAAAATGGGGTAGTAATGATAGACTATACTGGTTGGTTTAAGAATCATGTACCCTTTCTTTTTTGTTTCTAGCTCAACAATACAATGTACCGAGTAATATAAAATTCTAGATAAAACGACATAAAAAAGAAACGACAAAAAACGACATATTGGGTTATGATCAAAATGCAGTTTTTGAATAATTTGAAAAGTCTAATTTTATTGCTGTAAAAGCATCCACAAATGGAACTACGGGTTGCACGATCGGAAGTTTAGCTGGTAGCGGATGTTTATCAATTCATACACAGCAAACACTTCATCGAAAATGTCAGTAACTCAGCTCTTGTAAGGAAATCGTTCGGCAGGTTCCAACAAAATCCACCACGTCCACGTTTCTGGAGTTTTGATTCAAGTTCTATCCCATTAACAAGTGTAATGAGGGCATGGTGTTTATTTTTCCTTTCAACACTTGCTATCTTGTCACCAAGTCGTCCTGTATAAAATATGGATGCATAAATGGTACAAAAGAACAAAATCTAAATACAAAACAAATATCAGGTGTCCCATAAAAAAATGAGACACTTTTTGACAAGTATATTCTCGGTAACTGATGAACCAAATTCATTGAAAATTTGTTAAAAGTAGCCTAAGAGTATCATTAGCAAGTTGTAGAAATATAAAAAAGATTAAGTAAATATTCCATGAGTACTAAGAAATTCAAAATAGCATGTCAAAAATCCCCATACCGGAGCTCTGTGATGAGACCTCTAGAGTGTTTGTACCAGCTATCAGGTGATAGCATTTGTTAATCAGTCAAAACAGCTTGTCTGTGTATCACATAAACTTAATTCATTTCATTCTTCCCAAATATCAAAAATCCATTCATTCTCAAAATTCATTGGAGGTGATATTGTTAAAATAAATACGGAAAGGTGTTTTGCTTTGAAATGGATTAATAAGTGACTTTTACATTGATATTGGTTATTTTGACATACTGTCTTCAATTCAAAAATGCACACATAGTATGAGGCCAATATCTAAGATATTTATAGCACTAGTAGAAGATACCCTTAAGTGCCTCAAGTTGAGTTTTCAATTAATTTGACACATCTATTGCTGAGAAATCACTTGTCAAATTGTTTCCAATTTTTTAGCACAAACGCTATGAAATTCTCATTGCATTGCTCCGGTATGGGATATTTTGACATGCTATCTTGAGTTTCTTAGTTCTCACAAAATATTTACCATATCTTTTTCATATTTCTGTATCTTGCTAGGGATACTTTTGGGCTACTTTGTACAAATTTTCCCAAAATTCGGTTCATCAATTGCTGAGAAAATACTCGTCAAAAAGTGTCTCATTTTTTTGGGACACCTGATATACCAGTTAGAACAAGTGCCAAAGGGAGATGACGCTAAGCTCCAATGGAACCAAGCAAGAAAGGGGAAACTCTAAGTGTATACAAAGTATAAAAAATACATTGTAAGCGTATATGTAACCTGTCAAAAGGAATATGGGCTGCAGTAGTACCACTGATTTGCTATTTAGTTTCATATGTGTTGTATGTGGCATATTTACAAAATGACCATTACTTTCTTGTTTAATATCATATGTGTTATGACTTCAAAAATCATATTTACAGCAGGACCATTACTTTCTTGTTAAGTAGCATGTGTGTTCCAGTTGTATTCGAATGAAACAAAGAAAATAGTTCATCCGAAATATGCATTGGACTTGTATTTTTATCAAACGTCCTCATGTTCTCCTGTATAGAGTACGTATTAGTGAAATAGTGAACAAATCTCGAAAGTAGTTTTTGTGATCATATATATAAAGTTATATATTTAACGGTAGATGAAATGTCTTACCGAATATTCCATTGGTTTTAAGATCCAGGTTGTGATCAAATTCGAAATTGAAACCTTTTCTGTATTTCGTTACATCAATTCCTACACCCCCATCGTGTTCAAGCGAGATGTGATACTGCGATATCTGTTGGATAAAAAGATTGTTTTGACAAAAGTGTATGATATCATCCGGGATTTCCCAAAGTACTATTTCGTTCAGTGTAGATTGCCTCATTCTGGAGTTAGCAATATATTTATTTCAAACTATATTCCTAGTCCGTACTTAATTTGGCATTTGTGGACGATAATCTAACAAAAACGACAGCCGAATCAACAATGCTGCTTTACCTTGATGTTCATTTCAGCTGTTTCAAGTTGTCTTTCAGACCACTTGTAAACGTCAACACTATTGACCACTATCTCATCCATTGTCATAGCAACAGTCGTCTCGCCCGAGATGATCGCAACTTGGTCCAACCATCTTGATACTTCACCTTGCACCTCACGGAACCTTACATTGACAGTCAATCCTAAAAATTGCATTATTTATTTATTCGATGCGATTTCAAAATGATAAGAGAAGATAATAGTATAAAGTTGAGAAAATGAAACTGAAAAATAAGGGTATTGTAACTATCAACGTAACTGAAAACGAAAAGTGACACACTATAATAATATTATTCTCTGTTGTCCAGTCAAATCTGATATAGAGATCGAAACTAGCAATAGTTTTCTCCTAATGAACATTGTAAATTATTCATTATAGACGGCTCTGCGAATGGATGTTGACCCTTTGGATTGCATATGGACTTCGAGATTGGATTTTTCCTATCCCACATCAATTGAGACTAAATGCTCATAGACTTCCTTTTATGAGTACTATATCTAGTATCTACAACTATTTTCGATGTAATGAGTGTTGGCTCCCATTTGTTTAACATGTATTGCAATGACTTCAGAATGAAGAATTATTCAGAAGAATTATCAACGCACACCTATATCTGGAGCTTGGAATAATCGAATAAAATCCCCAGGTTTTCCTTTCAGGTTGTAACAGACCTCATCACCAAGTTCGTTGATTTGCTTTACAATATGGGGATCTCCATATGATTTATCTGAAATGCAATGTATTCTGGTTAAATGCATATAGTGCCAGTTAATATCAAAATCATGGCAGTTCTGGGTCTGTAACAGCAGCTGTACGTTTACATCATGAAAGTAAAAAGTAAAACTGAATTCCAACTGGTTCAAAGCAATCTATGCGACATCATGTAACGATTAGAAAAATTCAAACATTGTAATTATGTTTTATATCAGTTCAGTATTGACCTTTTTTACCCATGACAATGTATAACTTGCCACATAGAAAAAGTATCTTGGCATTTTAATTCACACATTTTGAAGAATGAAAGAATTACAGTAGCATTTTATTAACATTCCAAAAATGCCAAAATAGTATGAAGCAACATGTATTTAAATACATATTCCGATGTATTTTTATTATATATTTTTGATTTGCACAGTTGGTACCATTGACAGCGAAATCTAGATATATTGAAATAAATATATTTATGCCCTAACACCATTTGAGTTGAGTTTAGTTAATAAACCACCCTTGGAAAATATTCCGTGTAAAGATAATAAAAATTTAATTTATGTTGCAAAAAACAAGTTTTGAATTTTAGAATCTTCTTCATCAAAATTTTGAAATTAAGACGTAATTGCATTGGTGCTTTAAAATGACGACAATGTTAATGATTCTTGTTATGCATATACAATGAGCGAAAAGAAAACAATACCTTCAACTGCTGTTGCCCGTTTCTTGAATTCTTCTACGGTCCCCTTTCCCTCTTTTGTGTTGTAATATTCTTTCCAATACTCCGCCTGCGCGTCTATGTCGTCCTCTGCAGGTAGTTCCTTTGGCTTATTTTGTAATAATAGTCTTGCAGCCAAAGCAGACATAAACGGATCTTCTAGATCATCCCATTCGACCTTCTCCCAGTCGATTCCGTATATTTCCTTTATCTTTTTGTAGCGTTCTGTTAATTTCGGATGTGACTTCGTATCTTTCGTGTCTTCAAATCCAACTTCATCCACCTGTCGATTTTAAACATCACAATTATGAAAGCACGATTGGAATTGATGAGAGGAGGAAGCCAAAAATAAATTGCGGTCTGCGTTTGATAACAGAGGCATGTTTTTCTAAAAATACCAAACGAGGCTTACACTAAGGTGGTTCAAAAAGTTTTGCAGTTGATGCCATAACTTCAAGGAAAATAGGACTTGCAATGAAACTTGGTTCACATATGTGTTATATATTTTTACATTATATGGTAAGATTTGGGACCTCAATGTTGATTAGTTCTTGAGATATGGTTGCTATGGTAACCAGAGTGGTGGGTAACATGTTCAACCTGAAATTACGTTCTTCTAAATAGTTTTCTTGCTTGAATAAACTCTTCCTAAAGTGGCAATTAGCAGGTGTAAGTGTCTTTGGGTGGTTTTTTTCTAATTGTTTCTATGACATCACAATAGACAAGTGACACGATAAGTCCCTTTGTGATGTATACTGTCCAAAACCCAGTTGAAAAATTGAGATGGAAAAGTGAGGAAATTTTGAATTTTTTTTCCAAAATTTTCAAAATGGCAGAAGTTTCCACACCAACAAAATTGATGAAATTGAAGCATAGAAATATGATACAGCGCATGGTTCAAAATGGCAAGACTTTGCAAGAGACTTATGAACTGGTTCAGGGAGCATTTGGAAATGATGCCAAAACGTATCCAGAAATTGCCTAGATGCTGCAAGACGCGCTTCCTTTTGCTCCTCTGTGAGGAACTTTGGAACTCACTTTGCTGCAACATACCGCTTTTCAAGATCTTTGTGACAATTGTATGGCAGGACCCCTTAAATATATCCAGTAAATCACTTATTTCCTAAAATGAAATATGTCTGTCCTGCTCTATAAGAACTTTTATCTTTTCTGCATTCACCCGTGGTTGACAGAGGTCCTTGGCCTTCCTTTTCTGGGGTTGTCTGAAAGACTGTCACGCTTCCCCTTCTTGGAATCGTTGTACCTTCTCATTACAGTTGTGTAATTTTTGGCGTCATTTCCAAATGCTCCCTGAACCAGTTCATAAGTCTCTTGCAAAGTCTTGCCATTTTGAACCATGCACTGTATCAGATTTCTATGCTTCCATTTCATCAATTTGGTTGGTGTGGAAACATCTGCCATTTTGAAAATTTTGGAGAAAAAAAATTCAAAATTTCCTCATTTTTCCATCTCAATTTTTCAACTGGGTTTTGGACAGTATACATCACAAAGGAACTTATCGTGTCACTTGTGTATTGTGATGTCATAGAAACAATTAGAAAAATTGAAGAATTTGAAGGAAAATAGCCACCCAAAGACACTTACAACTGCTAATTGCCACTTTACAAAGAGTTTATTCAAGCAAGAAAACTATTTGGAAGAACGTAATTTCGGGTTGAACATGGTACCCACCACTCTGGTTACCATAGCAACCATATCTCAAGAACCAATCAAAATTGAGGTCCCAAATTTTGACATTATAATGTAAATGTACAACACATATGTGTACCAAGTTTCATTGTAAAAGTCCTTATTTTCCTTGAAGTTATGGCATCAACTGCAAAACTTTTTGAACCACCTAAGTACTTCAAAATGAGGCCCAAAAGCCCTATTCCAGGTTCAAAATGACATTCGATTCTATCTGCCAAGAGCACAAATCATTAATGCTCACCTGCCAAATTCCACCGTGATAATCTTTTCTATACGTGTTTTCGTCCATTCCATATTTTGATTCCACTTTTGCTATATTTTTCAAAAACTTTTTTCCTTTATCATCATATTTGCTCAGCTTTTCCAACGCTTTATCGACGACCGTTCTACCTTTCTTTTGATGATTATCAGCTGAAGATATTTTAGAATAGACAAAGCAAATTGTAAGACAAAATTAAAAAACATTTACTACGTACTAAGTAACATGAATTATGTGACTTTGAAAAGTTTTTACTCAATTACTGAAGGCTGAATATTCATTTCGATTCATGTATGGAAAACTTTATTTTATAAAATAAAATACCATATACTTACCTTGGATTGAAATAATCACGCAAAGGAATATTAGAAGACATTTCACCATGATTGGTACCTGTTCCATGTAAACCTGACTTTTGTAAGGTTTTAGTGAGATGTAATTTCTACCACCAACATATACAGACTGGCGTCCGTGACAACATTCACACAAATAAGCAACTTGCAGGGGACGTAAACACAATCTGTTACTTTTCAATTGTCACAAAAATGTTCTACAAAAAAATAAATCAAAATATTTACCTTACGTTCAACACTAATTGAAAATTAATTAAAGTTTTCGAAATTTCACTTCTTTCAAACTGAATTAATGTTCGGATGCCTGGATCGGTAGGATATTAACTAACATTATAATGGATCATAGGATGACATAACGCAGTAATACATCATTGCCAACTTATCAAAAGTCGTAGTAGACATGTTTATGAACTATAGTTTATTATGAAATAATTTTCGTCACGAACTTCAATTGCTCTCTCGAATTGACTAATTTTCTGTACGTGGTTCACACATCTATAAGTAATCCTAGATTATACTAATCGAGTCAATATTTTACAAATCGTTCGAACCATGTTTTTTGTTTCTACCAAGCTCTTGTTTGCGCACTAGGGCCAGGTTAGTATGTACGAGGGTTGATCCAAAAGTTCCGAACCGTTTGCTCTAAAAATCTTAATATTTTATGAATATTGTTCTTGATTTGGCCACAACCACCCCATATAGTAGTTTCATTCTGTGTAAAATAAACAATAAATCTGACCAGCAACATTGGTACGTGTCTGGTTACCATAGCAGCATGACAACAGGGTAGGTGGAGCTGGAATAAATTAAACTTTATTCCGAATTTCAGCAATTGAAGAGCTATTTCAGATCATTTCAATTTGTAGAGTTTCATCCCCATAAAATCTCATACAATAGATCATTATAGTTTATAAGTTCAGTCGCCTTCAAAATAGTCAACACCATGTATTACACATTTCTTACAGCGTTTCAACCAGTCCAGAAATACATGGTGAAGTCCACCTTTGGCTGTAGCATAAACGCTTTAGTAAATGCCTGGATAAGGTCAGCTTCGTCATCGAATTAAATACCACATAGTGGTTTCCTGGCCTCGGGAAATATATGAAAGTCACATGGTGTCATATCAGGAGAATAGGGTGGATGGGGCTGTACTGTAGTTGGGCCTGCAAGCACTCGTATATTGCCTCTGTTGTAACATTGGCTCTGTGGGCTTGGGCATTATCATGGTGAAGGTAAAAATTCCCAAGGAGATCTGGTCGTTTTTTTCTCATAGCATCTTTAAGATCTTTCTTCAGCAACCAGAACACATTTTTTAACTGGGTGTCGTCCCTAATTGATTGACTCAAAATAGATCAACATACCTCATAAAAGTAATCTAGTTTACAACTTTATAAATGAGTGATAAGGTTTTGTAACTGACCTTTTGAATAATAAGCTTCATTGACGGTGACTCCAGTTTCCACAGAATCAGGCTAACTGTGTCGTTCTCTTGCTCCACCTACTCTGTTGTCATGTTGCTATGGTAACCAGACACCTATGTTGCTGGTCAAATTTATTGCTTATTTTTACACAAAATGAAACTACTATATATGGGGTGGCTGTGGCCAAATATGAACAATGTTCATAAAATATTAAAGTAATTTGGAATGGATGAAATGTTAGTTCAACCTACATATGAATAAGAAAAACTGAATCCCAAAGCACACATATAAACATCGTTTTTACTGACCTTGGTTGTGTTTTAACTTCACAATTCAGCGTTTTCAACAGAAATAAATTTGCTCACACTTGCACATTGTTGGGGATTCCCTAGTCAAAGGTCATGTGACTAATAATCAGAACGAGGCTATGACCTGTGAGCTATTCCAATTGAGACGGGAGGAGAATTTTTTCATATTCTAGGTTCCACTTATTTCGGACGGTTTTCTAAACAATCACTGAATCTCTTTCTTGCTGAAGAATAACTATTATATCAGGAACACATAATTAATAAAACATTATGTAATCACTATGTACAGAACACGAAAATTACTCTTTTCAAAAGTAGGTCACATTTTCTCCCAAGTTTTATATGCAATATTGCTCTGAACGAAATGCAAGAAAATGTGTAATCAAACATACTTTGGTGACGTCATCAACTTGAGTGCAAAATTCGAAGTGGACGATGTGAAATCAAATTCAATTTACCCACTTCAATATGAGAAATCTCCGCTATCCTTGAGTAATATGAGCTGAAGTTACCCCAGTAGCAAGGTAAGACATTGTTCTTCGTGTGATATTCAATAGATTTTGCTAAAAATGCCTTAAACGAAGGCTATATCACTTTAAGATTTTTAGAGCTAACGGTTCGGAACTTTTGGATCAACCCTCGTATGTTAAAATTTTAATCAGTAGATATCAATAGTAGTAACAATAGTTCAACTTTCTAGGATCTCTCTCTACAGTTTAGCCACATTATGTCACATTATGAAAAATTGCAATTCATTGCCTGCATGTACCATCTTGTTTATTCACTTCTCACAACAGCGAGTTAAGATTGCAATAACTATAGCTGTAACAACACATTTAACGAGATTATGATTTCCTTTAAAAAAGATCATGGGGTAGAAACGCGTCCAGTATTTTCGTCTGGTACAAATCGAGATACTGTACGCAGACCTCCATTTTTGATCCAGAGAGAGGTAGGTGTGATTTTATTCGGTAGACTGTGATCATTTTACAGTGTTTTCTTATCTAGAAACAGGCTCAAAGATTCCCAGTATATTGAGGATCACACATCTTTTATAAAATGGCTCATTGTATATGCATAACAAGAATCGTTAACTAAACTAAAGGATCGATATTCGGGTTGAGAGAACGGTGGTTCGGGTGGAAGGAAAGTAGTTCACGAGGTCGGAACTGATGACCCCGTTAGTGGAAGTCTAGGAGACCTGATTCTTAAGCATCAATCAGTCGTTATGTTATGACATGCGCAAAGCTCTATTTAGTGATATTTTCATTTCAAATATGGCGGCCAATCCGATGTCTGACGACCCTTACAAAGAATCTAGGCAGTGTGCATTTTTACCTCCTGTGAAATAACACGTAGAATTTAGTAGTGTATTTTATTATCATTCTGCATCGTAATTCTATGTGATGTGGTGTTAAAATGTCAGCGGATATACATATCCATGCGATAATCGAGTGAATCAGATGACAGATTTTTCGTAAACACGTCTCCTGTTAAGAGTGTAAGAACTTGTATTATGCTCAAAAGTGCCAATGTGCTCATCAATGTCAAGCTAAATCAATGTTGTGTCTACAACAGGTACCTGCTCTACTCAAAACAGCTTGTCATTCACGTATACACGCTTAGCAAACACGGCGAAATGATCTGAATCTTGGAATTTCATTCGAGAGCTAGTAATGTTTGCTCCGGTCTTCGTCATAAGTGTTCATCACACTTCACGTATGCTCAGGAGAAAAACCATCAACCAATAACGTTTATAAATCAATTTTGCGCATGCGCCTCACAAGGGTAAAAAATCGTATTTATAAACGAACCAATTTTAGATAACCCGATATCAGTCGGAGAAATCTGACGATCTACGAAACTCACTTCAAAAAATCAAATGCATAAACATAATCATCCACTTGTTTTAATTTGGAACTGATCGTACTGCTTAAACTACTTCAAACCTTCATTTTTAAAGATGGCGGATAAATGCTCTTTCTCGCTCTGTGAAGGGAGGGATCGGGTACAGTGTTACAGTACTGATGAGAGATCCCTGGAATCAGATTGTATGCGCTTTTTGGATTACCATTGGCCCTCTATATACTCTTACATCGAATTTAATGATCTACTGTATAAGTGGTATTTAATCCGAGTGGTTAATTTTCCGAATGGTCAAATTTCATCATTTTCCTAATTTTAATTTTCCTAATGACAAGAAACCTCCCATTGGATAACATTATAAAGACAATATTTCCGACATTTAATTTTCCGAACCTGGCAAAAATTAGGAAATAGGCAAATTAAATGATTAGGCAAAATTACCACTTATACAGTATTTGTATTCATTTTAAGAATAAATTGCAACCATAGAGAATCTTTAGCACGTGATTCGCTGACGTGTTACGTGAGCTGCTCTTAACTTTTGAAGTGGAATATTAATGTAGTCCAAGGGGAAATAAATTCTGTAAACAACTCAGTAATCAATTTGGTATTTTATAATTTTGCCAAGTATGAACACTCGGGCGTGTCCACCAAAACGTGTACCCGATAACATTAACTTAAAATAGACTGAATGAATCACGATTTGCCTTTTTATTTTTCTATTGATGTACAAATAACATAGATGGACAATGTAGTTATTTTACGTACTACGAGAAATGTTCATATTTATATAGAGCTACACAAAAAGTATGTTATAATATTGGTTTAGAAGCATCCCAAATGGTCCTAGTTGGGTCCAAAGTCTGTCTGAAAGCGGGTACGTATTAATTCTTGCACAGCAAACACTCCACCAAAAATGTAAGTAACTCCGCTTTTGTGAGGAAATCCTTCGGCAGGTTCCAACAGAATCCACCACGTCCACGTTTCCGGAGTTTTGATTCTATTTCCATCCCATTAACAAGTGCAATGAGGGCATTGTGTTTACTTTGTTTCTCCACACTTGCAATCTTGTCACCGAGTCGTCCTATATGAAATAGGTAACTGGTCAACTCGTACCCAAGACAACTCATACCCAAGTCAAGTCGTACCCAAGACAACTCGTACCCAAGACAACTCGTACCCAAGATAACTCGTACCCAAGACAACTTGTATCCAAGTATATGTTATGTTTTGAATTAAGTGTTGGGCTGGGAATGGGTATAGATATACATATTATAATGGTTACATACAGTTCAGAATAGTTTGAAGTATGTAGAAGAGTTTTTGGAAGAAATCGATTGAAATTTGTGACCAAATATATGGGTCACAGATTCAGATGTTTGAGGGAAGAGATTTATGTTTATTCCACATATTCATAATCATTGTTCACAATATTAGTGGTAGTTTTGTATGTTAATGAGTGTTTGGAACAAGTATCAGATCTAATTCATCTTGAAATATGATATTATCAAAAATATAAAGATTTTCAAAACTTGCGCCTATTTCTTATTAAACAGATAATCTATTTAGGATTTCATATTATCAGATTAAAGAATGATAATAATTCTAAGAAGTCACCTTCATAAAATTAAGCAATAAAAATATTCTAAATAATATGAATATCAAATATTATTTTGATACTTATTCATACATGATATAATACACTTTGCATGCATGTGCTCAAATATAATCCAATTAAGTTCCAAATGGAAAAGAAATTAACAGATTAAAGTTCCCTTATTCATTTTCTCTAAATGCACTAATTATAAGCTAAATTAATTGTTTGATTCATTTGTTGAAAAGTTACTGTTGTAATTATATTTATTTATACATTATATATGTATTACAAAAAAAGTTGAGAACAAGCCCTTCAAAGCACTTCAAAGGTAATCCAAGTTAAAACAAAATGCTTTGCTTAATCCATTGAGAAAAAATGTCTTCTAAATTCAGAAAAAATATTGACGCACATTATAACATTAAACATTATGACACAAACTCAATTTGTTTTCTTATATGCACCCATAATACAGAAAATAAACGTAAGTACGAGTTGTCTTTGGTACGAGTTGTCTTGGGTACGAGTTGTCTTGGGTACGAGTTGACTAGGAAGCATGAAATATACAGGATGGGCCAAAAACGTTCACATTTTTTGTTTCGAAATAGCTTTTTTGAAAATGCATGGATTTTAATGGAAACTTCGCAGATACTATGCAGAAGTCAATTTTATAATTGTTCACGAAATGAGATAAATGAATCCCTATGGGTTATTGAATCCTAATTATAAAGAAACACTATACTAGGGGGATAACCAGACACTAGTGGTCTATTTGAAAGAATCAGATTTCAAGATGTTATTCGAAGCAAAAAAGGATTGGTATCGATATGGAGAACTGAATTCAACAATGTTTTTCTCTTAAAACAATCATTGAAAACGTTCTGTAAAAAACACGGTGTTTTATGTATTGTTCACTAATTGACAACAAGTTAATGCGAAAATTGTTTAGAAATATTTTATATAACTGTTTTTGTTAACATTTTTTGTTTTTCAGTGCAATTGTTTTTGCTCTTTTCTACCAATTCTTGAGAATGAAATAAAATGTCTTTACGAACCTTGTTGGAACAAAATAGCATATACAACATGTTTTTAGACCTCTCAATATTATAGTTATGGGAATTGTTGGTTGATTTTAAAAAAGTATTCAAAAAATTAAAACAAAATCCCCAAAATAGATAAAAATCAAGATAAACCGTTTATTTCATTAACAAGATACTTTTTTTAAATCACTCAAAATTTCCTTTGTACAATTACAATATTGAGAGACCTTTAAAGCATGTTGTATTTATATCGTTTTGTTCCAATGAGGATCGGAAAGATGTTTCATTTCACTCTGGAAACATAATACCAAGAACAAAACAAGTGTTCGATGTGTTTTCTAAAACAATATAGGCCTAGATGAAAGAATATATAATTTTTTCAAATTATATTGTTACCATTCAAAAGCTTTCAATTAAATTGACGATGTGTTAAAGTTTTAGATTTTTTCATGACTGGTTCAAGAAAACGTGTGTTCAAAAAGTTCTCCATATCGATACCACTCCTTTACATTCACATAAGTTATGCGATCTTATTCGTGGTTAGGAAGATCATTATGGTGCTTAATTGAGCCCACGCATTCAAAAGCTTGTTTCTTCAATGTCCTTTAAGACTCAGATTAATATTTTCTGGCTTATATTTCTGGCATAAAAGAAAACCTCATCTCCACCAAAATCTGGCCGACCAGTTCCGTTTACTTTTTTTCTATGTTGAACCAGTCCGTCTAACCTTTCCGACTAACCTCAATACACTCCTAATGTAATTTTAACCGGAAATATAAATTGAAATAGTGTAAATCTCATACATAAAGTCTCTCTGGCTCATTATATAAGATGTCAATTGTTCTCTATACTGTTATCAGAGGCATGGCTGATCTCAAAAGTATCGCTTCAGATATCATCATGAAATCTGGATTTTTCAAATAGATCTCATGTGTCTGTTTACCTAGTTCATATTTAAAAAACAGAGATTCATTTATCTCATTTCAAGAACAAATGTAGAATTGGTTCCAGCATATCATGCGAAAATAAAATTGAAATCCATGCATTTTAAAAAAAAAGTTATGCATAAAACACATAGCATGTACACGCGGTCCTAACTTCGACCGTTAATTTGAATTTTTGACCAACCGGATGTTTGAAAATCAAGGATAACGAGTCTCATACTGCACCGTTTTTCTTCAAACTTGTTCCATTCAAAGCATAACAAAAATCCTTTTCTGATGGTACATTATTCTCTTAAACAGAGTCTCTACTTCCAATGGCAGTTTTTTGGTCCCCAGCTGTAAGAAGGCCTTCTAACAGCTGGGGGTCAAAACGCTGCTAGAACGAGGGACTCTTTACAATAAAGTAATGCACCGACAGAAAGGCAATTTTGTGTTGCTTTTAATGGTATAAGTTTGAAGAAAAACGGTGCAGTATGAGACTCGCAATCCCTGATTTTCAAGCATCTGGTAGGTCAAAAATTCAAATTAACGGTCGAACTTTGTATCGCGTGATGTACATATACAGGGTGGGCCAAAAAATTTTGCAACTTTTTTAAAAGGCTAGAAAAGTATCATAACATGAAGGTATTGACATAAAAATTGATTTACAGAAAGTTTAGGATAGGCATATTTTACGATTCAAATATCTCAGATAATACTGACTTCTAATGTTTTTGACAGATCTTTGAATATCGATGGTAAATTATTCATGTGTCCGAGATTCACTGTTTTTCCAAAAAATGTGACTTTTATGATTTTATGTGATCAACAATAACACATCAATTATGTTCACTAAATCTGCTACAATCTGATAACTGTTTATTCAATATACTAGGACAGTTTTATATTGGTATCTACTCACAATTGTATTATGTTATACTGTATCTATTAATTATTTATTAATCACATGTTCTTACATCCACCTTTCACCTTCACTATCGCTCCCAGCCATCGGGCAAGGGTCACTTTGGAATACCTGGAGGATGATACCTCTAGATTTATTATTCCTTATAAATGGCTGTCCAATACACCAAATGCCAACCCCTGTGACTATCACACATGGAGGCACCTGGAGCAGTTCATTGCAGTTAATGGTAATCCCCACACACTATTGATCAACTAAAAGAGGTTAGGAGAAGTGGAAATTAAAGAAGTACCACAAGAATCGCTGGATGGCGCCATTGCAGTTACGCCCTTGTGTCTGTGTGATAGTGAAGGTAAAAGGCGGATGCATGGAACATTTTCTAAATAAATAATTAATAGATACAGTATAAAATAATACCATAGTAGATACTTGTTATAAAACTGTACTAGCCATTCGTTAAACAATTAAAAGATTGTAGCAGATTGAGAGATCATATGTGTTATTGTTAATCACATAAAATCATAGAAATTCACATTTTCTAGGAAAAATGGTAAATCTTGGACACATGAACAATTTACCACTGATATTCAAAGATCTGTTGGAAAAAATTGAAGTCAGTATTAGCTTAAATATTTGAATGGTAAAATATGCCTATCCTAAAGTTTCTGTATATGAATTTTTATGTCAATACCTTAATGTTATGATCCTTTTCAAGCCTTTTAAAAAGGTTGCAAAATTTTTTGGCCCACCCTGTAGTGCCAATAACTTGACGCTTAGTATCAGTATCAAGGTGAGTATAGTATCATTATATTCTTTATCCTCAATTATAATGAATGAAATACAGAAATATGAAATCCGAAAACGTACTTATTTATAGAATCTCCTCCCGTTTTCCATAACTAATCGAATGCTGATGAAAGAATGAAGATATCCTAAAATTGATGCGATCATATATCTAGACTGTTGATAATATACCTACCAAATATTCCATCTGTTTTGAGATCAATGTTATGATCGAATTCGAAATTAAAGCCTCTGCTTGATTTCATCACGTCAATGTTCACACCCCTATGGGCTTGAAGCGAGATAGTAGTACGATTCTGCGATACCTATTGCATGGAAATAATCGGTTTGATATTTAACTATGTGGTTTTGATTAATTTAAGAAATGCAAATTCACCTTATAATGCCGACATACCCTGATATCAAGTCCAGCAATTTCCAGTTGTCTTTCAGACCATTCGTAAACATCAACACTGTTAACCGTAATCGTATGCATTGTCATAGCAACGGTTATATCCCCTGCTAGTATTGCAACTTGGTCCAACCACTTCGAAACACGCACGTCATCTTGCTCCTCTCGGAACCTGACATTGACAGTCAATCCTAAAATCGCAGCGTTAAAATTTTAAATATTATGCATTTCAAATAGAATTGCTCGGGATTTTAGTAAGGTTGCTTTGAAGTTTGGTATAATTTTTTTGTCATCCTCAGATCACAGGGCTTCAAAATCCAGAATATCTTCTTTCTTTGCTTGGGAGGATGTTTTTCTGTCGACATCCTGTATTTTACCATACCGTGCGCCTAACCATTGAGCAATTCGATAGCCTTCTCCTCCCTCCATCCGTCCCATTTTTCCCGATCACAGGGCTTGAGATTTGATAATAATATGAACTTGAAAATTCCACCCATGGCTTCTAAGGTTAAGGTTTTTTTGAACAGCTGAATTATTCCAGATCAGAATTGAGACATTCAACGCAATTGAAAGGTGACATTGACATTGAACGGAAAATAAAACGCTCTGCACTGGATCTTCCGGTCGTGTAACTTGTGAATTTATTTTTTACCTTAATTATAATACGAGACGAGAAAAATCCCAAAACATATACAGGGCTTTCTGTAAAATGAAACAAACAATATTCATTGTAAAAAAGCTTTATCAAATTGATGCGCACCTATATCTGGAGCTTGGAATAATCTAACAAAATCCCCCGGTTTTCCTTTCAGGGTATAACAGACCTGATCACCAACTTCGTCGATTTGTTTTACGAGATGGGGGTCCCCAAATGATTTATCTGAAATGAACAATCTGTATGTTGTACTTAACGCAATGCAAAAAGGCACAAGATCAATAGTAGTGGACCTGTTACGGACCCTATCATATGCAACTTACATATTTGGTCATGAAGACGACAACTTGGACATTATTTTGAAATCGCAAATACCAAGATAGGGGGGGGGGTGTATAGAGATATTGTATATCGTATAAGGGGCTGAAAATTTATTGTATATTGTATAAGAGGGGGCAAAATTTATCGTATATGGTATAAGAGGTGTAAAAAATATGGTATATGATAAAATAGAAAATATATGGTATATGGTATCTAGAATTAAAGAAGGCTAATTATGAAGAAATTGTACCCTAAAGTTCCCCCATTGTGCCAACTCTCTTACTGAAACCGTGCTGGAAAAACATGGGAAAGTAGTCTCTATAATTGGTTCCACATTCCAGGTCAATCAATACTAGGAGTTTTGTGCCCTTTTCATTCAAATTTTCACAGGAGGTGTTAAATATAGTCTCATATAAGAATCACACCCGGTGATCAGAAGAAATGATCGGAGGGGGGGTAGATCTAGCTGATTTTCGGTTGAAAATTCAACAAATCTTGAAAATTTATTTTTCAAGAGAAAGTTAACAATTGAATGGCTAAATGAATAGACGCAGTGGACGGGGGAATATGTTAGGTCTTCTTGGATTTTTTTAACTGTGGAGTTCTAAAATAAAAGATCTATTAAAAAAGTGCAACGTCGCCAACGTGCAAAAGCCAATGTTTTTGCTATAAATTAACCAACAGGGGTCTACACGACCTGTAATAAATACTTGTAAGTGAAGTAATTATCACAAAACTATTGTCATCATTGGTTTTGTAAAACATGTTACCATACGTTATATAAAATTGAACGGAGGGGGGGGGGGTAATGTGTCTATAAGACATATGAAAACTTCCAATAACTCCATATGTCCCCATTTTTCACTTTTCAGAGTTGTAACATCAAGCTACTGAGTAAGTTCATTTTTGAAGTACACGAATTTGTAGAAATTTCATATTACTCCCCCCCTCTGTTCACCCCCCCCCCCTCTGTTCACTCCCCCTCCGTTCAATTTTAATTATTTTTGATTATTTTTTATGTTTCATTTGGAAAATTATTTTAAAAAACAGGCAATGAATTTTGTGATAAAAATGTCGCTTATATATTTATTACATGTTGTGCAGACCATTGTTGCTTGATTTATAGCAAAAACATTGGCATTTGCACGTTGGCGACGCTGCGCCTGTTTAATAAACGTTTGTTTAATTTACCGAAAATCAGCTACTCCCCCTCCGTTCATTTCATCAGATCACCGGGCGTGAGACTGCCAAATATCATTGACTCATCTTAACTTTGATGAAAAAATGGTCACTATGGCTACTCATGTTTCGGGGTATGTGGGATAAATCATTAAAATATTTGAGTTTAAAGTGTTCATACAGCACATGTTTTAATACAAGCATCACAATGCTTATATAGCATAATATAGCAAAAGGTGTTTATTTGGTCTTCAAACTGTCATATGTTGGATTTCGGATATTTATTGGGGATTTGACTCGAACAGGTGCATATGTTAGGCCAATGCATTAACTCAAGATCAAGCACTCATAGAGGTAATAATATAATTTGGACTTTGAAACAGGGAAGGTTTTTCTGAAATGTTGTCCTTATTTTCAGCCCTTTCCACATATATTTTTTCAATGTTCACCAACATGTTGCACTTTGAGACACAGTTAACCTCTAAAATATGATTTATTTGGGATAAAGTGGAAAACAGTACATGTATTTCCCATGTTATTTTCCCATAGGGAAAACTCATGTGATCCATTGTTTTCAGCCTAATTTTGGTCATCCAAATTTGATATCTTTAAAACCCCTGCACGAATCATATTTTCATTTAAAGATGTTAACCAAAAAAACGCAACAGAGTGATCGATGCAACAAACATTGAAAAACAGGTGCGGAAAGGGCTGGAAATCAGGACAACATTACAGAAAAAACATGTTGATGGGGTGTTTGCACCTTCCCTGTCTTAAAGTCCAAATTATTTTATAAACTCTATGACTGCTTGTCCTGGAGTTAATGCATTGGCCTAACACATGCACCTGTTCAAATCCTCAGAAAATAGCCAAAATCCAATATATGACTGAAATCTGATGCGATTTTGGAATCTAGTTTTAGATACTGATCTCGATACCTTGAACTATAAACATATCAACAATCCAAATTCAAGAAAAAAGGTTCTAGAGCTATGTGAACAATTAGAACTATATGATATTTGGAGGGAATTAAATCCTGAGGAGAAAAAAATTCACTTGGGTAAGGAAAAAACCACGTCAAATGGCAAGACTTGATTTCATTCTTGGAACAGAGGACTTTATTAATTTAACACGGAGTTGTCGTATTTCACCGAGCTATAGATCTGATCATTGTTTAACATTGCTAACCATCGAGAACAATCTTCCAGAAAGGGGTAAAGGTTTCTGGAAATTCAATTCCTCACTACTGAAAGACCCTGTTTATATCTCTTTAGTTAAAGATACCATCCAAAACATTAAAACTCAATACGAAATCAAAGCAGATATTTCAAACTCAGAAACTACTGCAGATCTTTCAATAAACGATCAACTCTTTTTTGAAATGCTTAAATTGGAGATTAGAGGCCAGACTATAAAATATTCTTCTCAGAAGAAAAAATCGCGAGAGAAAATTCAGCGTGATCTAGAATACAAACTTTTAGTTAAAGAAAAAGAAATAGATAATCTCATTAATAAAGAGAAATTTCAAAATGGAATATTTGAGAAAGATATTGAAGAAAAATATGATGAGTTAGAAAAAATTAAAAGTGAAATGAAAGAATATAGAGAACACTATGTGTGGTCTTATGACCAGGGCAAAATTAGAATGGTACGAATTTGGTGAAAGGGCGACTAAGTATTTCAGTGGTTTAGAAAAAAGAAATTATGTAAATAAATTAATTTGTCAGGTGGAAGTTGATGGGGAACTGATAACAGATCCAAAACTTATTCTTTTGGAACAGAAGAAATTTTACGAAAACCTTTACAAAAGTAAAATACAAAATAATGAGGAAAATAATGACTTCTTTTAAAAAAATAACAATGCCATTAAGACCTTAAGTGAAGAACAGAAACAATCTTTTGAAGGCCTTTTAACCGAAAAAGAATTGAAATTTGAATTGAAAAGTGCAAAAAATGGAAAATCCCCGGGATCGGACGGTTTTAACGTTGACTTTTACAAATTCTTTTATCCTGATATAGGAAAATACTTACTCAAATCGTTAAATGCAGCCTATACACTTGGCGAATTATCAGTGACACAGAAACAAGGGATCATAACGATTTTGACGACGGAGGCTTAAAAATGATTGATCCCAAGATCTTTGAACATTCACTCAAATTGACATGGTTGCAAAAACTTCAGAAATCTGGCACATGGCAAGACATTGCACTTAATATTTTAAATGTAAATTCAAAACGTGAACTCTTTGCATATGATTCCAAATCCTTAAAGAAAATAGAAGAAAATATTTCAAATAAATTTTGGAAAGATCTTGTTTTCACATTTAGAATATACACTGAACAAAAAGAGAAAGAGGCAAAGAATGATTCAAAATTGAGTGCTGAACTTGCTATGTGCAACACTTGGGCAAAGCTTACAAAGAACCAAAATGTCCAAAAAATATTGAAGAATGTAAGAGTCAATGGAGAGACAATTGTACTACAAGATATGTTTCATCAGTCAAATAGAATTCTGAATCAAGAGGAATTCAATGAAAAGTTCAATACAAACATTAATTTTCTTGATTATTTGAGTCTCAGAAATACAATTCCTAATCAGTGGTTGAGCGATATTAAGAAAAATGGCGATAGTTTAAATAACTTTGAAAGACAAAAACAACACATAAAACAGTTCATGGGCCAAAGTAAGATATGTAAAATTATATATTGGGAACTTATAAAAAGTGAAGAGACAAACATAAAGTACATCACTGGTTGGAATAAAGATCTGAATCTGTTACTTAACAAAGAAGATTGGAAAATGATCAATAGAATCAATAAAGTCAGCAATTTTGAACCAAAATTAGCTTCTTTCAATTTTAAAATTCTTCATAGATTTTTGGCCACCAACACATACTTGAAAATGTGTGGATTAGCAGAATCAGATCTGTGTACTTTTTGTAAAGTAGAACCAGAGTCAATTTGTCATCTCCTCTATGAGTGTAAAGTGATAATGGAACTCATAGTAGTCATTAAAAACTGGTTACCAGAGGAATTGACAGGACTTTGTTCAAAACAGAATATTTTAATAGGACCAGTATGTATAAATGATAGAACAATTATCCTGACAAATATGTGGAGTATATTTAAAAGATATGTGTACCTATGCAAATACTCAATGTTAAGACCTACCTTTAAAGGATTTAAAGCAAATGTAATATCTTATTGTAATATTGATAAGCAAATAGGCAGAGAAAAAAGGTGGGAAATTATGGGTACTAGATTAGATTAGACTAGTGTGGTTAGATGCCTTAAAAAAGAATATGATGGAAAATTGTGTGATTTCTATGATATTATGAATATTGTATATGTTAATGTAACTGCTTTCAAATGTTTTCTATGAATAAAAAAGGAATAAAAAAAAAAGAAATCTGATGCGATACCGTCCGTGGTCCTTTAAAAGAAAGTTATTTCTAGTTACATAGAGTAGTTTTCATTCTCATCAATACATCTTTGCCTTGAAATCATTCGTGAAACATATGGTTTGACCTTCATGGAAAGGAGGAGGGAAATTAGCGCAACAGATTTTGGACACTCATATGTTGGATTTTGGCCATTTTCTGAGGATTTAAACAATTGCATATGTTAGGCCAATGCATTACCTCCAGGAAAACCACTTCTAGAGATGATAAAATAATTTCGATTTTGAGAGAGGGTAGATGCCAACAACCAACCCATATGTTTTTTCATAAATGTTTTCCTAATTTTCGACCCCTTCCATCCCTGCTTTTTTAATTTTTCTTGCATCAATATGTTGCATTTTGACACATAGTTTACCACTTTAACGGAATAAGTGATTCCTTCAGGGGTTTTGAAGATACCCATTATGGGTGACCAAACTTAGCTGAAAGCAATGATTTTTCCTATGGGAAAATAACATGGGAAATATTGTTTTCCACTTTATCTAAAAGGAATCATTTATTCCTTTTAAGGGATTAACTGTGTGTCAAAACGCAACATATTGATGCAAGAAAGATTAAAAAAGCAAGGATGGAAGGGGTTGAAAATCAGGAAAACATTTCAGAAAAAACATGTGGGTGGGTTGTTTGCATCTACCCTGTCTCAAAGTCGAAATTATTTTATCATCTCTAGAAGTGATTTTCCTGGAGGTAATGCATTCGCCTAACATATGCACCTGTTAAAATCCATAGGAAATGGCCAAAATCAAACATATGACTGTCCAAAATCTGTTGCGCTAACTTCCCTCCTCCTTTGCTTAATTTTGACACACTTTTGTTTAACTTATACTGACCTTTGAGGCTGCCTTATCTGAAACCCCGAAGTGTCTCTATTTCGAATGTAACTGCTTTACAAAAAATTATTGTGCATTGTGAATCTTCATTATCTATCTGATACATATTTTCCTCAGCAAACTTTATTTTCATAGAACACATGATGAATTTTTTATTCCACATTCTCAATTTTGCATCAATTATGTTTCAAGAATTTTTTTCCCTGGCTCACTATGAAGGATTCCATTGACATTAAAATAAGTCATGGGAAAGTAGGTCATAAGAAAGAGGAACACTGAGTTCCACCCATTCCAATGATGCAGGTTTTGTGCTAATTTTGAATATCTTTATGGTACTTTTACAGGTAATGGGCTAATGGCTTTAGCAAATTGCAGCAATGTCAAAGCTAGTTTTTTGGTCAAAGTAGGTTGTTAAATCACCAAAGAGAAGTCATGAATCTTATATCATAAATGTGTTTTAAATCAACTTGTTTACCTGAAAATAAAATGTGGTCACAGCTTTTCTGATGCGGATGACCCGAATTGTGTCTTATTCATAATGTAATAAATGAAATCATTGTGGTATTTATGTGGAGTCTTAGTTGCCTTATAATAATACATTTACTTTAGTACATGGATTCTCTCCTAATATAATTTCCTTATAAATATCCAAACTTTAATCAAAAGCAGTTTCAAAATTATCGTATATTGTATTTCACCTAAAATATCGTACTATATATGGTATAAGAGCTATGAAAAATATTGTATATGGTATAAAAGGGGTGAAAAAATATTGTATATGGTATAAGAGAGCTGAAAAATATTGTATATGCATTTTCAAGACCCTCTATACACCCCCCCCCGCGTCATAATACTTGTTTTATGAATAACTAAATATCCTCTAGTTCAAAATATTCTGCGTGTCATTGTTCGATTTTTTAATTAAATTTTAGTATATGTCGTGTTTGCAAAAACAAGGAATGCGGGAAGCAGCACGTCTTTAAATGTGGCATATTCAGACATATTTTTTATCTTTCATTTAAACAGTAGAAACTGCTCCATTGGCTAAGGCCGATAGAAATATTTTTAAAATAAAGATGGCATGGTAATCGACCTGTGTTTATTTATAATTAGAGAAAAAGATAATATTGGAGTTTGGTTCTGCCATCTTTATATCGGTCCAAACTATACAAAGGCAAAGTTAGATTATAGATTCTAAGATTATTGTGAAAACCATATTAAATTCAGTTCTCCATAAGCATACTCTGGTGATATTGTACATGGAATAATTTGACAGATAAAACATTTAAATGCAAGATAAAATCAATCTCTGTAGCTAACCCTACTATCATACCAAACTAGTTCTCACTACGTTCTCGAAAACGGGCTTCAACTGTGTACGAACGGACCGGACGTACTTAGAACCGTTTGGGGGTCTATTTACAAACTTCATCGAACGTACTCGAACGGGTAGGTCCTATCGAACTTAGAATACGCTCAAGATGTTCTTTTGGTCGTCACGTTCTACAATTAGAACGAGTGACAACCTACTAACGACGAGCTGGACGTGCTACGAACGGAACCGTCGTACTTCAATCCTACTACATGTACTAGGGACGTTTTTACAATGAGTTGAAGTGTCTGCGGACGTATTAAGAACGAGGTAGAACTAATTGCAAACGGGTCAAAACTGATTAAGAACGTATTTATCAACGAGTTAGCAAAAATGTAGCTATCACACCGAGCGTTCTTCAAAACTGGTTTTAAACTGTGTGCGAACGGAATGAACGTAGCTACAACGTTCTACGGTCTGTTTACGAACTTCATGGACTTTCCCGGGCGGGGAATGTGATTTAGAATTTAGAATCGATTCAAAATTTGATGGTAATCAGGTCATGATGACCTTCTAGACTAAGGGACGCGTTATACGGCGTTGCACACCGACGTGGTGCGACCTGAACGAACTGCGAATGAGATGGACGTATTGAAGACTGTTTATGAACGAATTAGTTAATTATTTTAGACACACAGATTGAGCTCGTTTTACAACGTTTTCGTAGGACTGGCAAGAACGTGTAAGAACTAGTTTGTTGTGATAGGGGGGTAACGTGCCAAACTATTGTATATTCCAGTATGTTTTTAGAACGTGTAAGAACTAGTTTGTTGTGATAGGGGGGTAACGTGCCAAAATATTGTATATTCCAGTATGTCAACTTAACATGAAGTAAGCTACTGTCTATCACTATTTCCTCTTAATTCAGATAAGTAAACACAAGTGCCAAAAAAGGACACATTGCAATTGGACACTCGAGACACAACTATGATCTATGGTCACAACAGTATATTCTGTCCCGCACCACACCATTTAGGAGTCAAAATCAATCCAAATAAAGGACACATTGCAATGGGACACTCGAGACACAACTATGATCTATGGTCACAACAGTATCTTCTGTCCCACATCCCACAATTCGGGAGTTAAAATCAAAATTAAGGGCACATTGCCATGTGACATAATTTGGACATAACAATTCACGTTGAATTAGAGTAATAGATAGCATAGTAAATGACAGGTAAAGAAAATCTCCAAATAAACATACCACCTAAGAATGCATAAAATGTACTTAAAATACATGTTCAATGAGCCGAAAGAGAACTATACCTTCGACTGCTGTTGCTCGTCGCTTGTATTCTTCTACTTTCCCCTTTGCTTTCTTCGATTCTGTATTGTAATATTTTTTCCAGTACGCTGCCTGCCCATCTATGTCATCCTTTGAAGGTAAGTTTTCATTCTCTTTATATTTTGGCTTATTTTGTAAATATAACCTTGCAGCCAAAGCAGACATGAACGGATCTTCCAGCTCTTTCCATGTAACCTTCTCCCAGTCGATTCCGTATATTTCCTTTATCTTTTTATAGCGTTCTTTTAATTTCGAATGTGACTTCGTATCTTGTGTGTCTTTAAATCCAACTTCATCCACCTGTCGATTTAAGACGACACAATTATGAAATCAAGGGTGGAAATTGATGAAACGAGGTATGCAAAACATTTGCACCAAGGTACTTTTAAATCAGACAAAATCAGACATGAAAATGAGGCCAAAAATGCCTTTTTAAGATAGAAATGACAGACAGAATTCTCTTTGCCGATGCCGTTATAAGTCATTAATGCTCACCTGCCAAATTCCACCGTGATATCCCTCTCTATACGTGTTTTTATCCATACCATATCTCGATTCCACCTTGGCAATGTTTTTCAAAAATTCATTTCCAGTCTTATCATATTTACTCAGCTTTTTCAACGTTTTGTCGACGACCGTTTTACCCTTGTTTTGAGCATTTATAGCTAAAAGTAATTTTCTAGAATTCATTAAAGTTGTGAAGCGAGAACCCCAACAATATTTTTCTGTACATTTTGATAAACACTGTGTTCGTCATGTCACCTTTTTCAGTTTTAGTAAGTTTTCAAATACGATAATTTGTTATGAGTTAGTGTGTTAAATTTTAATGAATTTGAAAAATACAAACATGAGCTGTATGAGGAACATGAAGTTCGAGAAACATCTTGCAAAATTTAATACGAGCTTTACCTTGGATTAAAATAATCGTGAAAAGTAATATTAACGGAAACGTCACCATGGTTTCCTTTTGTGACGTGTTCCTCTCATTCACAAGGTTTTTGTAAAATAAAATTTCTCCCACGTCTACCACCAGTATATGCATGTAGCCATTCACGACCTCCGAACAATTAAGCAACTTACACTCTTTAAATGTTATTTAAATGTTAACCAAAACAATAAATCAAACTATTTATCTAATGTTCAATAATATTTGTATGGAAATTCAGTTTTTTGAAGTTTCACTAATTTTGAATCAAATAAATGCCCAGAAATCGGGATGATTAGGATAATCATTTCGATGGATCAAAGGATCTGTGACTCTTTAACATTAGTGTATGCAGGTTCCAACTCATTAAATCTCATATCGATATTGAATACACAGTTATACAGTTTTCCGACTGCATCTCCATTTGTTCTTAATGGTTCAATAACAACAAAACTAATATACAGGGTGGGCCAAAAAAACGCCACTTTTTTTCAAGACACTACAACTTTTTATTTTCCAACCTACATACCCCAAATTTTGCAGTTAGATAGTGCCAGGGGTTCTTAGTAATAATATATTGTAACAAGTCCTTCGACTTGGATTATAGTTGATCTAAAAGAGGAGTTCAATTGGTCCGCCACCCTATTTGATGATATATTTCAGTTTTAGTCGCCTTGCTGATATAACAGTATCAATGAAATGTTAACTAAGTTTTTTTCAACCTGTCTTAATTGCCAGCTTTAGTTGAGCATTTTCTTGATTGGGTGCCTTCATACAATCTCCTGGAAACCTTCCCATACCCTATACTCACTGGGGTTTGCATCAGGGCTATTAGCTTGGTGATCATCAGGCCGTATCAGTTCAGGAACATTTTGCAAATTATGCTTATTTCTCATGGCACACCACATGTTTAGTGAGACGCTGGAGACATATTTTATTCAAGTAAAAGTGTATAATTCATGATCCATGGCTAGATAACAACCTCAAGTTTCATTTGGTATGCAACTTATAATTTTGTATCAAAAATTAAAAAAGTTATAGCATTTTGAAAAAAAGTTGCGTTTTTTGGCCCACCCTGTACTAGTACACCTTAATATACAGAATCTGAGACTAACATAAACTTTTTAAGATGGTCTCAGACAGAATGCACATCGAGGAGCATTACATGTGGTTTTGTCATATCCTGATTAAAAAAACGTTTTAGATGACTTTAACTGCAGGGTGTTTGACCGATCTGATCAAGATATTCTAACAATGGCTAAATCTATCTGCAATATTAAAGAATTTTGAAATCTCAATGAAACGTATTAAGTAATTGCTATCTACTCCCTCTATCGAGATGTAAGTGAGAGGAAATGACATCAACCACATATACAGCTTTGTTTGGCCTTAGTGTTTTTGTAGTAGTAGGTGATAAGCAGTTTTGAGAAAATATTACATAATCCTTTGAGTGTCATGTCAAGTATACTTAATTTAGCTCTCTATTTTATGATATACCAGAACAAATATTGAAAGAACCTGATTTCTCTGGGTTATTTGTATGTTTCAAATATACGTACTTAGGTACTGCAAATTGGCAAAAACTTTAACACATATGTAAATGCCCATATGAAAATTTAATTTAAATAATTGTTTACCAAATGCCAATGGGCATTTATTAGAAGTGAGTCAATAACCTTTTGAAATATTGCACTCATGCTGAAAACAATGTTGGAGAGAGACAATTGAAAAAAGAAAAACTATTCTCATTGAGGAACCCATGTGTTCATTTAATGACAATCAATTTTTTCTATTGTCCATGGGCATTTGAAGCATACTAGCTGTCTTTCTAGGTATGCTTAGAGAACTAGATAAGCCTAAAAAGGGAAAACTTAAAAACAAGAAAAACACAGTTCCTCTACAAAATGTCCACATGAGCCTTTAATATCGAAATGTTTACGTAATTGCCTATGAGAATTTAATAAACGAATTTTAATTCCATTTGCATGTCTTATTTCCAGTTACAATCATTATAAGTCATTCAAAAATCCATGTTGCTTTTATATCTTGTACTAGAAATTGCTCAAATTTGGACAAAAGAATTAAATCCGTTGTTTTTATTTTTCAGCCATTTAGTTAATAATAACGTCATTTCAAAGGGCAATATAGTGAAATATTGGACCAAGGGCCGCAGGCCCAAGGTCCAATATTTCACTATTTTGCCCGCAGAAATGACATTATTACTATTATTACCACCGTTAATGACCAGGGCTGAAATAGCAAAATATAAGAAAATCTTACGCACTGAACGATATCACTTTTCCCGGGAAACATAGCCTGGCGGATGTCATTATTGCCCGACTAAAGTCATTAACGCCCGACACAATATTGCTCACGTCAATATAGCAATTTAAATGCCTTCTCAACTAGTACTTAAACCCCTAGAACAGGCCCTGCAAGGTTGTTGATTTGTCCATTTGTCTCTCAGTCAGTCCACAATAGTGGCACGTTTTGAGACCTCTGTCGATAGGATTCCCGTTTTATTCATGTGAGCCCAGTACTCATGGTACTCTTTTTTTCGAGCGGAGTGTAACACTCGTGACACATTTTTCTGACAAGTGCGATATGCATAAGGCAAACAATCCCCATTTGGAACTACTCAATGATTAAAAACATTTCTGTTTAATTAATTGGTTTCATATTGCATTGCATCGGGGAAAATCATGTCTAATTGCCCCTCATGTATCTAATAACAGCATATCCTCTAGAACAACAACATAAAGCATCGAGGAATTTCATAATAATAATCCATAGAAAGATATTAAAAATTTGCACTGTTTTTAGTCTTTACCTTTTAGACATATGTCCCTTTTAGAGAAATTCCATTATGGTTACATCAATCATTTCTTTTAGGTACTATTTCGGTAAGTGACCGGCAATTTGTAACACGAACCTCTTTAGTAATATTCATGATCATTAAGGGCTATCGATTTCTTGCCGTTTCCTGGCCTTTGATTCTGCAATTCTCTTGAGTTTTGATTGTATTGTTCACTTCAGTTTAGTAAAAAGTCTCAAGATTCCCGAATATCTGTTTTTAGGCCATTGTCAATTCTATTGATTGATAGCTTATGATTATTGGTAGTTTTTGTTTTTTGGAGGTCGTTCGAATTCGTAGGTTATTGAGCCCATTGGGTTTCAAGGGCATTTTTACAATAATGGCCATAATGCAGGCAAAATCGTTGCACTTAAACCAATACATCTACATGTTGAATGCTTGATTTTTGTCGTACCTAAAAAGGTACGATACTGTCGTCAGTCTGGCGGACGGCGGCGAAAACCACTAAACAGAGTTACTTTAAATCCTTACACATTTTAAATGGTAAGAATTTCAAGAGCCAATTTATTTTTCGGCGGCCATCTTGCTGCCTCGGTCAACACGCCCACTCTGCTATATTTAAGGTACGATATTGTTCACGCTGTGCCTTGTATAGTCTATAATCGCACATAATTCATTTTGATTTGTGATACATACATAAAGTAACGGCAAACCAGTTTCAACACCAGTCATGGTGAAAAATAGTTGTTAAATTATAAGATACGCAGAAACCCACTTTCAAAGTGGATATATTTATTGATTTATCATATGCTCGATTTTTTAAAATATTTGTATAGCGAAGTTCAACGCGTTTTCTTGTTATACAGGATATAAGAAAACATATGGCCTGTTCACCTAAATAGGATAATCGACATTAAGGTTATTTGGTTCTTTAAGTGTACGTAAAAAATCATGTGACCGTTTGAACTATTACAAATAATCATGACAGATCGTATTTATTTAGCGAGTGAAATCGGTTACCGATATGTTAAGATATCACTTATTTGCTTCCAATTATGATAAACTCTCATATTCGTACGTAAATCACATATCTTAAGTGTTAACACCTCTCCAGTTAAGTTGGACTGAATCACGACACGAGGATAGATCAGAATATAACTGTTTGTTCAAACACAGTCTCAAGAAGTACGTTCAGATTGTTATTGTTATGATATGGGCCGCCTTATCAAATCATTGATGACGCATATAAATCAATGTATTTAAGTGGAACTCATAAGCAAAGGCTTAGTTATGTTCATTTTTGTCATTCGGTGCATACCCGGATCTATTATTGATGTTTAGTGATATAATCCACCTGACTATAATAAGATAGGAATTTGGAAAAGGAAGTTGTTTTTGTGACAGTCAACGTATGGTGAAGATAGGAAGTACGGTCCGTTATATGTTACGCTTTGAGTGTACTATAAGGAAAATAATCACTTAACAAAATTAGAATACAAAATAGTCGATAAAAGGAAAGGTAAGTAGTTTAATTATCTTAGCGGTGTACTTTACATCATAAAAATATTTCATATAATAATAATGTAAATCATAATTCATTCAGTAATAGTATCATATTCGTTATAATTAAAGTATTATTTATAAGCACATGTAATAAAAGTAGTATGCCATAACATCTCAACACTAATTATATCATATGATGATATAAAACGTGATAATTCTTTTGTATAATAGTACTGTTGCTCGCTGCAATATACCATACATTATATATTACATTATATTGAACCTCATTATATCATTTAGCATTATGGTATATTATACCACAACACCCAATATATTTTATTTTATCCCACGATTAATGTGTTATCTGTACAATAACAGCTATTGATATTTCTGATATTATTGAAATCCGTGTGATATATTCCAGAAAATCGTTTATCAAACTCATATGCGTGTGATATCGTTTATCTCACGCATATCCGTGTGATATCACATTTGCATTTCGTGCCACAATATTATTGGAAATTAGGTCAGATAATTTATTCTCTTTTGAGAAAATAGGTCCGTCTGCTAATGTCCTGGAAATTGGATCAGAACATCATGGGATAAACCCAGTATAAGCTGACATAAAACTGACAAAAAACAATGTTTACATGTTCATTTTATTTACTTTTAATTGTTAAAATAAAGTGTTTCAAATATTCAATTGATATTCTAAGTTCTAGTTTATATTGTCTGCCGATGTTCTGGAAATTGGATCAGAACATCACAAGGTGATTGTAATCATGGGATAAACCCAATATCACATAATTTCTCGTGATATCATTTTGTCGCCTCGTAGATATCAACTATCAACACTCATTCGTTTCGCTCACTCGTGTTGATATTTGATATCAACTCGGCGATAAAAATGATATCACTCAAAATGATGTGATATTCTGTATATATATTTGTGATAAAAGGTATAATATTCTCCAATGATATATAATAGGGACATTCCTAGACAATATATATATAAATAACATATTTATTAAAGCCTTGTTAGAAGTGGTATCCGTGATTGGATTAATGGAGGTTTTGATAAATACATTTACTAAAGCTGATAAAAAACATCAGAGTATTATCAAAGAAAATATATGAAACACAATTATTTCCTCTTACCCATTATCTGGAATGCATATACTACAATATCATATACTATAAATAGAAATATTATTATCATTATAAAAGGAAAACTAGTTTTGTGATGTAAATGTACTCCGCTTTGTTATAAGTTTCATGTTAATGAAAAATTAGACCGTTATTGGAATTGATTTTATGCTGAAAACATACTTAACAGAGTAAATATTTATGAATACGTCGTTATAGTCTTTGAAGGACGAAATAAACGTCTCGAGTGCTTTTGGATATTTGAACATACGAGGACATAGCTTAGTGGCCTCTTTAGACTGTAGAGCTATATTTGTGTAGTACTAACTAGGTTATGTACATATTATGATTGAAATGTTCTGTAGTGCTGATAAATTCTACCTCACTGTATTACGTAACAAAGAGACTATATGAGAGAGCGGTCAGCTGCTGGTTAATCACTTGTGGTTCAGCTTGCTTAACACTAAGAGCTCATGCAGCATGGCTGCTATTTACCCTTTGTTTTCCTTTGAGGATTAAATGTTAAATTCAGATACCAAAGAAAGTGAACTGTTACTTAAAGTAGATATGTTAATTCGTAATAATTTCAATTTTTTAAAGTGCCATGAATGGCCTAAATTAAATGTTAGTTTTTTAAAAAGAAAAAGTATATATCACTTGTTCCGGAGGAATCTATTTATTAAAAAAAAATTGCGGACTGTGGCAAGATAAATTATAGGATGATTGTCCGAGGAGAGGATGTTACCAGAAAATAAATCGGTTTGATGTCTTAAAAGACTAGGCTACCGGTTCTAGAGCCCGTTCTAGAGTTATGTTCCAGTTGCAGATGTACGTACAGTCTCTCCAAACTTCTATTACACGAAGTAATGAAGCCAACACTGCAAGATTGGTAATATAATATTTTTTTTTTTTTTATATGTAACCGTTAAAGGTTTGTTTTTTAAGTGAAATGAAACCTCAAATGTGAGGATGTCAAATGGCCAGCATGTGAATGTTGGCAAAGTTGGAATCATCCAACTGTTGACTAAAAAGGGAGTTCCTCCCAAAAATGAAACCTCAAAGGCAAGGATGTCAAATGGCTGGCATGCGAAAAATTTGAGCCACCCAATAGTTGACTATAAAGGGAGTTCCTCTCAAAAATAGGATGCATGTAGATTAAAACTATGTAGATTAAACTTAGTCCCTTGCTTGGAATCATTTAATTGTTGGTAATGGGAGTTCCTCCCAAATAGAACACAGGTATATTCCAGCCTTACACTGCTTGGAATATCTGTAATTACTGAAGAATGGAAGTTCCTTCCGAAACTGTTTAAGTATGTTACCTTGATGGAACTTTTTTCCCATTTCATCTTCTTTAAGAAGAATGAAAAAATTAAAGAAGCTTGTTTGAAGCCATGCATGGCACAAATGTAGAAACCCATTATGTTCAGTAACTAATCCTGTTTTGAGGAAGTTGCTAGCTAGAGCTGCCCCAGCTCGGATCAAATTGTAGCAATAGATTCGCAAAAACGTGTTTTTCCAACTAAATTTCAGAGATATAAGGGACATGTGCACCCTTTTGAAGGCATTGCTACTAAGAAACATTACAATTGGGCAATATAAGCCACAATTTTCAGACTGTTTCAGACTGATAATCAAGTCTTTTTGCATCATGGCAATCACATCTGTCCCAGATCAAGTGCTATCATGGTAATAGAGCTAAGGTAGTTTGAAATGTATTTTTAACAGGAATCATAACATCCTTATATATCTTTTAAAACTAGATTAAAATGGAGAAATTAGCACAGTGAGTGCAGGGAAATGATAACTTTTCATTAAAACTTGACTTTTATCCAACTCTATCCTTGAGGATAGAGGTCCATGCCTCAAACAAACTTGACTAAGACTTTATCTTCATTCGAAAAGTTAAACAATCTTAAGTGTGGATGATCCAAAATTGAAACTTTCTAAACAGACATTTGGCCTTATACAGAAAGAATACTAGATATAGCATCATAAGGCATCATAAAATCACACACTTTGATGAGAATGTTTAAGATTAAAATTACTTGAAAGTATCAGCTTTTTTAGCTAGGTCACTAATTTTTTAGAAAATGCATAAACTGTGAAGTCAGTGTTATCACTTTTCATCTTTATTCATACAGTATGTATTACATTAATGTCAGTACCTTGACAGATATTAGTCATATAAAAATGCATGCACACAAAACATTGTGCCTACTTGGGAAGGACACATGAGAAACAGTTCGAAGGATAGCATAGAATCAATGTGAAATCACAGCTTTGCTAAACTTATTACATGAGCATGAGCATCTTTTTCAAAGGTCATTGGGTTTGTGTCTTTATTGTTGCAACTTATGATAATCTCCTACTTTTTCAATACATGAATCTTGAATAAGATGAAAGTAAGGCATGAAACATCAGAGGCAATTATGAAGCAATTATATCATTATCAAATGATTCTAATGTAGCTGGCAGACTGGGGAACAATGAAATCCAGTGACTCAATCAGTCATGGTGTCAAAGACATGACCCTCTTCACTGATGCATCAGGGAGTGGTTGATGCTGTATATGAAATGGCATATTTGAAGGCAACCCTTGCTCTTCTAAAAAAGATAATAGTATGACTTAAATTACTTAGAAAGAATCTACATCAAAAGTTGGCCTAATAATGTGTGACTGTATGACTCTCATAGTTCAAACTTTATAAATGGGACGAAATCTTTGCTTGCACACTTAAAATGATTGTAAAGGTATTCAATGCTCATCCATGGTATAGTCTAGTGTGAGTACATTTACTTTGGAAGTAGATGCAGAATCCAAATATGAAAACATTTGTGCTTATGAAAATGTAATTACTTGAGTTGCAAACCCTTTTAAATGTTCCCTAATATAAGTTTTATTGCTTTAGAGTACTAATTGAGACTCATTTTGTGATCTTAAATCTAAGATGAAGATAATCATATCATAATGATATAGGGTTGTCTATGTATTTTGATAAAATCTTTCAAAAGAAAGAAATGCACAAAGGGCACAACATTCCTTTGTTTGTGTCTAAAAACCAGAACCTGGTGAACATGCAAAGTTGCATCTTTGGGCTTGCCCTCTCACCTTCCAAAGAGGAGGGGGTGGGGGGGGGGTGGTGAAATACATGTACTCATTACAGTATACCCAGATTTGCCAACAAGCAAAGTTCTAAATATTTTTTCAATTATACAAGTTATTGTTAGCTGCCCCAGCTATCCAAGTGTTGAATATTGAAGTTTTCTATAAAGCAAACACTTTTGATAACACTTTCTAAAGATACCCAATCTTTACTTGAAATATCCATGTAAGCTATAAGTTTTAATTATATTTAACAAGATTAGGCCTGACAGAGGCTTTTTTGGACATCTACATATTTAATGTAATTAGATATGCTCATTCCTGTAGCACTGTATACTTTACATCACCTCAGATAAATAAGTATTTCACTAAAAATGAAAGTATTTCATTGTTTGTCAATGTGCGTGGCTTAGCGCTAACTACATGCAAATCGTCATAAAACATGACACCTCATTTCATATGAGATGTTTTAAGTAAAACAGAAGATGCTATGAGTAGCAGAATGGATGCAGATAAGCATTGCATTTTTCACATCTAGAGATATATAAACAAGTTGCTCAATCATAGAATAAACAACTTTAAGAAATAAAAAAAATAAAAATAAAAAGTAAATAACCTTTTTACTGCAACTTTGAATGGATGTTGATTTTTAAAAATATTTTACTACAAATGAGATGTTACACTTTAGACCATTCACCATGCTAATGGTTAAATCTCATAAAACTGGTCATCAAATATGAATTCATGTGATTATTTGATAATGT